CCACGGCTAACCCCAACCTCTCCATTGCCTGGGGGTGGATGAAGTTGTGGGTGCTCCCACCATCGATCAACACGCCCACAGCTTGTCCCGCAACCTGCCCGGTCAGCCGTAAGGACCGCGGTGTGGACATGCCCGCCATGCTTTGCAAGCTTGAGATGTCGGTCGTCACCTCGTCCTCTTTCCCCAGCTCTGGTTCTTCCTCGTTCCCCTCGTCTTCCCCCATCATTAATACGAATCGTCCACATTTGTGATCTCGGCTCCACTTCTTGTCCCAATTATAACAAAGGCCCTTGGCGTCTTTCTCCATTTTTTCCGCCCGTGTCAAAAGCCGGACCGGTGTTGAAGCGGTGGATTCCTTACTGTTCGTGCTAATGGCAGGAGGACTGCCCAATATGGAGGGCTTGTTATTGGCTAGAGCTACACTGCCCTGGGCCGTACGTCCAGGGAGAAAAGTGTTGCGGTTGGAATTCGAAAGGCGCCCTGAACTAGCGTTCAGGGAGTTCGTCGAGTTCGAAAGGCGCCGGTTTGGCACAACGATTATATTTTAAACTAAGTTATTATCATTTCCTTATTATTATTATTATTATGTAATAGTCTTTTTTTAGGTGAGCGAAATTATAAGCTCCTTCGAGGGTTTCTTTACGGTTCTTTACCTCGTCGCTTTTTTTTGAACCGTCAGGGTAGATAACGTAGTTAATTAGGAATGGTTAGAGTTAGGGTTTCTTCCCACCTATAAAGGGAGATGTATCCATTAATCACGGCATGAAAAAAAACCTAATTCAAACCTTAATCTCCTCTTCTACGGCGCACGGCTCAAGCCTGTGAATTTTCTTTCTTTCTTATCTTCACTTTCTGGAGCTTGGGGACGATCGAAGTCTTCCTATTCCGATACTTCATCGTATCAGCATTCTTTCCTCTTTCACTACTTCCCCTTTTGGCTTTGCTTTTGTGTTGATTTTCTTGGGATTTTATTGGTTAACAAAAGAGAAAGAGAAGGGAGAATGATGATCAAAATGAGTGATTTGAGAGATAAAAAGGTGAATTGACAATTAGTGATTGAGAAAAGATCTAGGTCTGAGATTTTGCTATAGTGAATTTTAGAGAAACAACTATCATTTTATTCTTGATTTTTAGAAGATACGAAGATGAGTTGAGAGAATTTTTGAGGAGTTTCCGATCCGAAAAACTAAAGAAAGACATCGGCTCGAGGGTAAATGAGATTCAGGCTTAGACGACAATAGACCAGTTGTGGATTTTGAGGGCATGTTTCCCTTTGGCGGTTTTTTTAGAAGAACCATGGAGACGACAAGAGGGAAGCTCCTCCTTTGACGATTTATTTTGTGATTTCAACACGAGATTTTTTTTTTCTTTTTTTTGAATGGAGAAGTTAATTTGAGGATAAAAGAAGTAAAAGAAAATTGAGGTGAATAAGGTGGAGCCAGCGCCCCTGGAATTATCGGTGGTGGCGGTGGAAGTAAAGAACTCTTTTAGGTCATTACCAAAAGCGGTGGCTCCGATACCATGTTGAAATATTAAAACAATAATATTGCTTATTGAATTATGGAGTACATGATAGAGTATACATAAGAGAGACTTCTAACACAACTAGAAATAGAGAATGGAAACTAACTAAAACATAACATCTGCCTTAAATAGGAATAGAGAGTTGACTTCTAATCAAGGGAGAAAGACCAAAGTAGGACTAAAACATTAAAATATACCAAAATCGGACTTCCATGTTTTTATTCCCGAAACAGGACGTACATTACCAAACATAGTAATGTACATTACCAAAAAAGTATAGTAATGTGCACATGTACACTGCCACATTACCACAGTGCAAATTAAAGTCCTATTTCGGAAAAAAATGAAAGTCCTATTTTGATACTTTTCTCTATGTTTTAGTCTATTTTGGGGTAATTTTTATATAATCAAGCACTACAATAACTAATACTATTATTATTATTGTCTAACATGTTATACTTTGAAGATCAAAATATTTTATTCCTATTTTTGACAAAAAGCATATTCCGTATGTTTTATTAGCCCTATCAAGGTAGATTCTTTTTTAAAAAAATTACTAAAATCTTAAAAAACTAATGAGTATTTCTCCCTGCATTCTACTTGGTAAAAAATTTCACTCCGTTTCTTAAATTCTTTCTTCTTCTTATTTTTGTCCCATAAAATCTTTTTGTTTTCTATTAAAAACTCAGTTTTACCCCTACTAATTCTTACCTTAATTCAAACCTTCACCGAATTCAAATTAAATGAACAGAACGAACACTAAACACCAATTTCTTTTCGCCTTGAAGATATTATCCTCATTCTGCAGAACAACCTTGATGAACGATTTCTTCACTACTAGTGACTGCGATTCCTAAGCAGCCATGCTCTTTGCCAAGGAGGTACAACCATCTGCCATATCGACTTTATAGAGAGCGTGCACTGGTAGCTATCTCTAGCATACTTATAGAGGTTGCCCTGGTGGTTGAGGCTGACATAGATGACATTATGTTAGGATATATTTTAGGGTTTAGTAATATTAGGCCAATTGATGGGCTCGTGACTATGTTAAGCTTGTAGCTATTAAAAATACTCCCTCCGATCCTAAAAACATGGGGTGTTTCTTTTTTCATCTGTCCCAAAAAACACATCTTATTTCTATTAAAAAGTCACTTTTTCTTTTACTTTTTCATACCATACCTATCACATTCATCATACCTTTTTACTAATAACCTATCTATAAACTCGACTTTTACCCATCACATCAAAGGACATTTTTGGAATTTCAATACCAAAATGCATTCCCTTTAAATCTCTTCAAAATCAAAACATCACACGTTTTTAGGATCGGAGAGAGTATATAACATGTTTATGTTTAATGAAATAATCAAGTTCAGTTCTAAATATCGATCTACACATTATGCCGATCGAGCGCAGTAAAAAGGCACACCTAGCGATTATTAAGGGAGAAAAACAAAAGATCATAATATCATGCCGGTAGGTATTTAAGTATGTATGCCCACACCCGAAGGAGAGTGGAACCGTGTTTGAGGTCTCAAATATTGAAAACTTGCTCCGATACCATGTAAAAAATAATTAGGGAGAAAGTATTTCTGTATTGAAATATTGTTTTGGAAATTATAAAGATCCAACCTTCTTTATATATGAGGAGTATGAAGCAAATAAGTAAATTCATATTCCTAGCATAAAATAAGAAAATCTAAGAAAGTCACCAAATCAAATCTCAAAAAAGATATGGTTCACTTTTCTATGTCTCTCTCTTGTAACATACTCCCTTATTGTAATTTACACGCCAAATTATTTGCTACATTTTGAACAGCGTGCAAAATATATCATCTCTTTTAAAATCATTTTATTTACATATTGGTAGAGAAATAAAAAGTAAAAATTACATCGTTTAAAAGTACATCAAAAGTTTTACAAATAAGATACGATAAAAATATTTTATTTTATAAAATAATCAACCAAAACGAATAAGTAAATAAAAGTTATTGATAGGGTGAAATAGCAATTGTTGCATTCTTTTTTGTAGGGGGTATTATTATTAGAAATATTTGCACTAAGTAACACTAAAATTTAAGTCATTTCTCTAAATAAACTTAAATTGTTTTATTCTCTAAATAGCACTTAATAATGTCCATAATATTCAGTGATGACAAATATTTATTTCAATGATGAGTAATGCATAAGGAATAAAAGTGCTATATTGGGAAGAAAAACACATGTGATGCTATTTAGGAAAATTCATTATGTTTTAATACTATTTAAGTAAATTCCTCTTATTATTATTACTAAAATAATAAGAGACCACACATGCACACTTTGGCAACGTACAGGTCACCTTGCCGGTTCCATCCCTACCAGTCAAAATTCACCGTGTAGGCGATCGCCTATGGAAAACAATTTCATGCATCCCTACCCTTGATGTGATGCGATTATAAGTTTATAACGTATCAATCGGACACGTACTCCATATATATATATATATATACACACACACACACTTCTTCGTATATACTCCAATCCTATTGACTAAATTGACAAAGTAAAGAAACATGATTTTTTCTTGATTTTCTAAAAATATTTTTGATGTGATGGATAAAAGTAGGATGTAATGTGTAAATTATTAGAAAAAAAGTATGATGTGATAGGTATGATATGACAAAATAAAAGATAAAAGTGGTTTCATAATAGTGAGAAGAACTACGGTTTTTTTGAAACGTAAAAGACTTTTTGGTACGGAGGGAGTACTATGGAGTTGATATATATATATATATATATATATATATATATATATATATATATATATATATATATATATATATATATATATATATTTCCACGCACCCATTATATATACTTGCATGTATCATTCTTCGTTTAATTGAATTGTCAAATTCTGGTCATTTAGCTAGTAATAAAGTGTACGTCTTCCACCTTTTCCCGGCAACTATATAAATAAATATATTCTCCCTTGTTGTCGTGTACCTAGCTAGTCAATATAATATATACTGGAGTAATTAATTATTATAATGAATCAATCGGTGAAAAATGGTGATCAGTCTCATGTTCCTCCCGGATTCCGATTCCATCCAACGGAGGAAGAGCTCCTGCAGTATTACTTGAGGAAGAAGGTGACGTCCCAGAAGATTGACCTCGACGTCATTCCCGACGTGGAACTCAACAAGCTTGAACCATGGGATATTCAAGGTTTCGTGAATTATTATAGCATTCCGTTTTGTAATCATATCATATTTCTCTCCATCTCTTACCTGTATCTTTCTTTAAGAATAGCGTTGAGAAATACTCCCCGTCTTAAAATTTTATTTCCCATTTTAGTTTACCAAGTTTGACAAATGTTATTTTCAATTTAATTTATTTGATCATAAATATAAAATTTGAAAAACACTCTCTCCGTTTGAAAATTAACTTCCCATTTGACTTTTCACAGTCTCCAATGCGACACTTTGACCATTAATATCTTCATTTTTATATGAATATATATTACAAAAATAACATATTTCAAAACTATGTTTCAAAATTAATCTATTGATAATAAATTTATATGAAAATTCAATATATTTTTTTCGTAATATACGGTCAAAGTTTAAAAACTTTGACTACAAAACTCAAACTGGGAAATTAATTTTAGGACGGAGGGAGTAGAATTTACTTCTTCCGGTCATAAAAACATTTTCTATTTTGAGTTTTTTTAATGAAACAGTGACACTCTTTGACTACAAATTTCTATTTTAAATAAATGATACAAAAAATTTGATATATCAAAACTGTATCATAAAATGAGCCTAATTATATTGAATTTATATAATAAGTAAATATACTTTTCACACAATTTGTGGTTAAACAGTGTCACTTTTTTAAAAAAAGTTCAAAACACGAAAAGTTTTTAGGACCGGAGGGAGTATATATTTGAAACCTACAACTTTTATTTATAAAACTAGAGGTGACATAATTATATTATTTTATCAAATAACTAATAAAAATAAGCCAAAAAAGTGATTATAAAGTTTGACTGTGTCAATATGAACAACGAAGATAATTTAAGGAGAGAAGGAGTAAATAATTCCTCCATCCCAAATTAATCTTCTGAATAACTATTCTGCTCTCTCGATAATTTATTTTTGTATACATTTTTTCATCAATGATAATTTGATAAAATAAAATATTAAAAGCTTTTTAGAGCTTTTAATGCAATTTTGAATGTTTTAAAATTGTACTCCCCCCTGTCCCTTTGAATCTTCCATTTTAACTCTTAAGGTCAACTTGTTTACCATTTGACTATAAATTATGAAAAAAATACATTAGATTAATTTTTCATATAAATTTAATATCAATAAGTTTATTTTGAAACATAGCTTTGAAATATTACATTCTTATACTTCTACCGTTTCATAAAACAATTCCTATTTTGACTTTTAGGAAAAATATGAAGTTTACATTTGTGGTTGACTTTCTAACTTTTGTGCTGATATGATGGCTAGATTATTAGTAAAAAATTTGATGTGATAGGTAGGATAAGAGAAAGTAGGAGTAAAAGAAATTTTTTAATAGAAAGAGCAAGCGTTTTGAGAAAAACAAAAAAATTAAAGAGAAAGTGTTTTAAGAAACAAATAGAATAATATATATATCTATCTATAAATAAAAGGATTGATCAAAGTGTTGTATTGAAGACTGTAAATGTTGAAATAAGAAGATTCAGTAAGAGGGACAAAGGGAGTACTTTTTATTTAAATACCAATTTGTATATAAAATTGTTGTAAAATACATACTCCTTCCGTCCTTAAAAGATTTTCTTCTTTCATTTTTTTGTTGTTTCCAAAAAATGTTCACATATTTATTAAAAAATCATTTTTACCCCTTACTTTTTGAAACCCTACCAATCACATCATACTTTTTACGAATAATCTACATATCACATTTTACTTTTACCCATCACATCAAGGATAATTTTGGAAAGTCAACACAAAAAAATCTCTCTCTTAAATCCTCCAAAAGTCAATAAGGGAACATGTTTCAGGGACGGAGCAAATAATATTTTACACTTTAATTTCTTTGAAATGAGAAAAATAATTTAGGATGAAAGCAATATTTTATAATTAGCATTTTTGTGAAGAGCCCGGTTCCATGGCCACTGGATTCCAGTGGCCACGGAAGCCACTGCCCCCATACGGAGCTCCGTTCATAAAATTGATGATTCCTACCCCCCGCCAAGTCCCGACCCAAACTAATCACCCCACATACGTCAATTGCACCTCGTAAGTATAAAGTCAAAACAAGTTTAAGCACGGACCCAAGCTGGGCCATTCAACCAGTTTGAGCTTGACCATTTTCGGTTGACAAACAAGGAGCAATAGGGGCAGATCTACGTGTATGAATACAGGGGCAGTCGCCCAGTCAATTTATTTTTACTACTCCCTCCCTCCCTAAATAAACTTTCATTTTTGACTTTTTGAGGATTTAAGGGAGGAATATTTTTGTGTTGACTTTCCAAAAATACCCTTGATGTGATGTGTAAAAGTAAGATGTGATAGGTAGATTATTAGTAAAAAGGTATGATGTGATATATAGGGTATGAAAAAGTAAGAGGTAAAAGGGGTTTTTTTAAGGGAAAAGAGAAGTTTATTTGGGGAAAGAAAAAACGAAAGAGGAAGTTTATTTAGGGACGGAGGGAGTATGTAATATACTGATGGGTATATCCCTATACCTGGCCCGAATTTCCGAAAGGGACAGGTCAAAAATATGACCGGTTACTTTCCTCAATTACAAAATGAGGCAAACTCTTCGATTGAGACGGGTCGAAAGTTGACCGGTCACTTTCCTTAAAAAAGTGACCGGTCACATTCTGGGTGATAGCCAAAATGTCACCTAATGTTACAAAGGACATTCCAGAAGACCAAAGAGACGGGTAGGACTCAAGAAATGACCGGTCGGCCTTCGAGGAAAGGTGATTGGTCATATTCTTCTACTTAGCTAATGTTCGGGAACCCTTCCAAGCATGGCAATCAACATCATAGGCCAGGGGACCACCTCGCCGCTCATCCATCACGAGATATACAGTGAAAGGAATGATTGTCATCTTGCAGGGTTGATTGGCTAGGGAAGATCTAAAGTCATTGATTGAATAGTGTCTTGGCTTGTAGCTATTAAAAATCATTGTTTGTACAGTGCTTCTATTAACTACAGTGACCTTCCTGCTTGTTTCCTATTTTGTCTAGTGGTGAACAGGGAAAGGTCACACACTCTCCTCTATAAATATGTTAGCAATTGATAGAGGAGGGGATCCAATCTTTATCTCACTAAAAGTACACTCTTGAGACAGAGTAAGAAATATAATTCGAATTGAGGAGTTTTACCCGGTCTAGGTCATACTTTGTGTTCTGGTTGTGTGTATTTACTACGTGTAGAGTCAGAGTCCAGGTCAGACCCGATCTACCTACCCAGTTATATTTACACCATCATATACAATATTAAAATAATTTTTTTGTTGAGAATTAAAAGAACGATCTCGATAAAAAATTAGTTTGCCCCCACCGACAAGAAAATCTTAGTTTAAAAGTAAAAAAATAATCATTTAAAAACATATACAGGTAAAGTATTTGAAATATCATAATTATATTATGTTATGATATATTTTGTATTTTATTTTTCTACTTTAAAAATAATTTCTTTAATTTGAATATTTGTTTGAAACTAAATTTATTTATTTTTATCATTATCAAACGCTTTAAAAAAAATCAGGAGTGCCACTCTTGAACCTCACCATACTCTTTAGTGTGTTCTTGCCCCATCATATTTTTCCTGGATCCGCCGAGCAAGGGGCCGCCAAACGATTGCATTTTAAGTTTTTTTTTCTATCTACTTGTTTATGCAGAGAAGTGCAGAATAGGATCGGGGCCGCAAACCGATTGGTACTTTTTCAGTCACAAGGACAAGAAGTACCCGACGGGAAGTCGGACGAACCGAGCAACGGTGGCGGGATTTTGGAAGGCGACGGGGCGGGATAAGGTTATATACACCAGCTGCAAGAGAATTGGGATGAGGAAGACGTTAGTGTTTTACAAAGGCCGGGCTCCTCATGGCCAAAAGTCTGATTGGATCATGCATGAATATAGGTTGGACGAAACTTCACCCTCTTCGGTCGTAAGTTCCATCACTCTACTAATTACTTCATGTTGACAAATCTCACGAATTAATTTGATACTAAATAGCTCGTAGTATTTTGTTGTTGTTGAGAGAAACACATATGAATTGTGATAAAAAATATACCCCTCTGTCTTAAAAGTAATTCCACCAAGTGAATACCTCTATCTCATCATCATCACTCATTATCTCATCCATCTATCAAACTCTGTTCTAAAAACCTTATTTCCCATCTTGCATCCTCTCATCTTCAATTTTACTTGCTCACTTAACGAATTCATGAGGTCTACACTTCCTCCTTTGGAAGATTGAATAGTTTGAACCCAAAGAGGGATTTCCCCACTTTGAAGACTTGAGGGAGCATACATTTGTCTTTACACATCAAACAAATTTTCTACAAACTTCTTCACGTCTTTGATATTTCCTCTCCTTCCACCGCACCATACATAGAATGTTGATACAATTTGATAATAACTTGTCTTATTGAATATTGAGAGATATGGCCCTATATATAGGGAATACAAGAGTAATCAAAGTACAAGTAGGAAAGGAAAGAATAATCCTAGTAGGAAAGGAAAGAAGTATCCTAATTTAATTATACTTCCTAATATTCCCCCCGCAAGCTGATCAACGGAGACGAGGGGCAGCTTGGAACATAAGTACTCAAAAGGAACTGGCGGCAGCGGTTTGGTAAGAATGTCTGCTAGATGCTCTGAGGAGGAAACATGATGTGGAGTCATAGTGCCTGCCATAACCTCATCTCGTACAAAGTGACAGTCTGTGCCCACATGCTTCATGCGATCATGAAGAACCGGATTTTTGGTGACACAGATAGTCGACTCATTGTCACAGTATAACTTTGGTTTGGACGGAGGAATACCCAGCGCATCAGTGATATATTGAAGCCACATAGCTTCTGCAACCCCTGCAGCCATAGCTCGATATTCAGCTTCAGTGGATGATCTAGAAACACGAGTCTGCTTTTTCGTGCACCAAGAGATGATATTAGGACCGAGTAGGAGTAGGTAGCCCGTGGTAGACTTGCGATCATCTTTATCATTTGCCCAGTCAGAGTCAGAGTAGCCAGATAGGTCGAATTTCCCCTTGCGAAAAAGAAGACCACGATTCAAAGTGCCTTTGAGATAGCGCAGAACGCGTTTCAAGGCATGATAGTCCAGCTCAGTGGGGTTGTGCATAGTCTGAGACACTCGATTAACAGCATACTGAATGTCTGGACGAGTGACAGCCAAGTAATCTAAACCGCCAACAATGCTCTGAAAATGAGAGATATCCTTGAAAGGCAACGAAGGCTTAGTGATAGGTCTCGTAGCCATAGGAGTAATAGCCGGATGACAGTTTGACATCCCGGCTCGGCGTAGAAGATCACGGGCATATTTGGATTGATGGAGAAGCATAGAATCTTGCGTGCACTGAACCTCAATGCCAAGGAAGTAATGAAGAGGTCCAAGTTCTTTGAGCTTGAAGTCACGGTGCATGGCCTGAGTACCTTCTGAGATGAGAGTAGAAGAGCTTCCAGTGAGAACAATATCATCAACATAGACAAGGACAACAATAGTCCCACGAGAGCAGTGTCTGGTGAACAAGCTGGTATCATGAATGCAGCACTTGAATCCAAGGCCCTGCAAAAAAGAGGAGAGACGTGTGTACCATGCACGGGGTGCTCTGATACCATGTCAAGGAACCAACTCAACCAAAAGCTCAAGCTTGTGGTTGTGGCCCAAGAACAGTTATTTATATTCTAACATGCCCCCTCATGTGCAGGCGTAGTTTTTTTTCGAGCCTTGCACGTGAAACCTTAATTTTTTAAACTGGGTGACGCTGAGTTTCGAACCCGTGACCTCTTAGTCAACGAGGCTCGGATACCATGATACAATTTGATAATAACTTGTCTTATTGAATATTGAGAGATATGGCCCTATATATAGGGAATACAAGAGTAATCAAAGTATAAGTAGGAAAGGAAAGAATAATCCTAGTAGGAAAGGAAAGAAGTATCCTAATTTAATTATACTTCCTAATAAATGTAAAGTAAGTTGAATCCCAATATACTTCATAGATGGATCAAGAATAACTGTCGTATAAATGAACTTGTTCAATTTTGAAATGTATCCCCAATACTTATCATACTTTCTTTCATTTGTAATGTCATGAGTTCAAATTCCTTATCAACATTCAATGACCATTGGCATAACAAATTATGTGTATGACTAATATGAAAGAAAAAGGAATTACTGGTAACAAACAATGAACCCGATACCCGATACGGGAGTAGTTGAACCATAGAACTCCTTTAGAAATGTAACAAGTCTTTCAATATTATTCCACTCCTCAGCTGACGGAGCACTAACGTCACCAGAGTACTTCATCTTACCAAAGACAAGTCTATATTTCAAAGCACTATTCAACATTTCATAAGTTGAGTTCCACTTGGTGCAACAATCAAGACTCACAAACAACTTGCAATCAACTTTGTTTCTCTCGACTAACTCGTTGAAGTAAACATTCCTAACAGGTGAACTTTTAACATACTTAACAGCTAAACGAACATTTTCTATGCACTTACTATGGTATTTCAAACCATCCCATACGATCAAATTTATCATATGAGCAACATATCTCATGTGCAAGTTCATTCCCTTACTAATATAACCTCTTTCCACTCCCAATGATATTCAGAAGTTACATGCCACATCATTAAACTCGCATTATCAACAGTTACCGTGAATAATTTCTCACAAAGTCCCCATGAATCTAAACATTCATCAATTACACTCTAATAGCCAACCCTTTGTGACTATAAATATGACAAAAAATCAAGATTCTTTTTTGAAACCTCCACTCATCATCAATAAAGTGGACAGTAAGACACGTGTAATTGATATTTTGATTTGATGTCCATGTGTGTGGTGACAGAAACTCTTTGACGAGAGACTTTAAGGGTCTCTTTTAACTTCTCTTTCTCTTTGACATAGTGCTTAAAACAGTCTCGTGCAATGGTAACACGAGAAGGAATTTGAAAATTTGGGACGACAAGAGACATAAAGTGACGAAATCCAGGCATTTCCACAAATATAAAAGGTAACTCATCAAGCACATTCATGTAAGTTAGGGCTTCTCTAAGGTAATCCAATTATGTTTACTACATGACTTCTGACTCGAACATCCCCTTCCTCACTGTCGATGGGTTCTAAGTGAATGGTTGATTGCATACCTTTTCCCTTGTTGAGTGGATCTTTTTCGCAAATAGTAGAATGAGCTTTTAAATTTCTAGCCCATTATAAGCTGAATCGGTAGTAAAAGTTGAATCACAATGCAAACGTTCCGCTCGTACATTATTTTGATCATCTAGAAACAACTCATAGTTTACCCAATAAGGATCCATTCTTTTGCTTCCCTTTACAATGTAGCGACGTTCTAGCCTTGACGGTTTGGTTGGGTGTGGTATGTGTGATGTAGTGGTTGTTAAAAGGCTATCATCTTCTATTCCCTCAGCCTGTTCAGGAACCATGTTCCCTGAAGGACCTTGCTCTGCTTCCTTAAGATTTGCCCTCCGTTTCATTGTAAACTACACACAAACAAAGATCGAAAAAATATCATAAAGCTACTTAAAGTAAGCTGTTTATTTTCTAGGTAGTCTCTGAGTTCGTAACGATCTCTTAAAGTAATAAATTTGAGATATGCACTAACAAAAAATCCATAGAAAATTTGGTGATTGGCTAAAAATTTAAATTTTTACAATTTAATAATTTGATATATAGAAACAATTAAATTGAAAGTGAAACCAGTTTTGATTTTCGAAAGATATCATTTCATAGAAGAATTAAAATCAAGTGAAAAGAAATAGGCTATTAGCTGAAAATCTGGAATAATGCTGCTATCGAATGAATTACTGCCAATTGGCTAAGGCAAATGTGTCTACTTCCAAAGTTGGAGAAGATGATGATGGAGAAGAAGATTAGAGAGGACTGGGGAGTTAACCGTCGTTAATCCTCTGCAACAATACTAATCATACCTTCGATCTACAAGTCTGAAATGTGCATCGCTAATCGTCGCGAATTCGATTGAAGCCTTTGGAATCGAGAAAGGGATAGGAGATTATTGAGATCTGAGGGGGAAAAGGGAAATGGAAAAGGAACTAAGAGCAAAGGCAATGGCGTGTAAATGAGATGACACGCTTGCCAGCTCGGACAAAAATTTTTCTTTGCCTCGCGTGTGCATACCGTTCCTCCACGGTTTCCAAGTAGGCTGCGAGGCACTTTTGTTGTCTACTAATCCATTTCCTTGGCTTTTTTCTTTGTTTTTTGTGGCGTAATACAAATTTTTAAAAAGTTGAATTATTTTATTTTTTAGAAAGAATTTTTTTAGATGTAGTGGAACTATTTTTTTGATGTTGTTTTTTAATTTGTAAGTTTTACTTTTATTCTTTTACCAATTTTAAATAAAATGATTATAAAAAACAAGGAGTTTTGCATCATAATTCTAAAATATAATCTAATTTGAAAGGGAGGGATAAATAAAAATATGGAGCATATAAGAAAAATAATTTTTATTAATTAAAATACATTTTAATAATGTCATTTGTTCAGCAAATATAAATATTTTTATGTTAAAATAAATAGGTTAATATTTTTTAATAATTCAAATATTGCAAGAAAATGAAAAAGGTAATAAAAATAATGACGTGCCACTGTAGGGCATGCCACTCCACTCAGTTGTCACACGCTGACTGGACTATTATTCATTGGTTGAAATGTTCCACGTCAGCGTGTGGCATTCCAATTTCGCCTCACCATTGCTCATGCTCTAAGAGAAGCTTCGGTCCCGCGGGCAGCAGCTCTGACCTGTGACTGTGAAGCAGTGTAAGTAACGATTGGGTTCTAAAAAATGGATTATGGACAGTGGACTAGACTAGAGCGTGGACTAATGGACTAAAGACCGATTAGAAATCGGGTTAAGACAAGACCAAACCGAAACCCAAAATGTTAAATATATTGGACTGAAGACCGACCTGAAATGTATTCAATCCGGGTTCAGTCTGGACCTAAACATGAACACCCCTAATAGGTAATAAGTAATTTCTATTTTCGAATTCTACACTTTTTTCATAAAAAATGATTTAAAAATAATTTCAGCCAAACATCATAAACCGAAACTGACAATATAATTTGAGACAGAGGGAGCATTAAATTTCCGTAAAATTTATGTTTTTATAAACTATACTTTTTTTTGTTTAAAGTGTGTCACATTTAAACAAAAATTGTTAAACTGTTACATTCATTTTGGGACAGATAAAAAAGTCAATTTACCTAAAAAAAAGTTGACTTTAAAAAACAATTTATACTTTAATTTGATTTCACAAGTTTTTAGAAAATTGTAAAAGGTAAAACCTGTTCGTTCAAAAGTAAAAAGAAATGTAAGACTACTTTTTTTAAAATTCACATTCTTATAAAATATAAAGTGAAATTCAAATTTTAAGCATTCAGACAAGGAATATATTTATAAAAAAATGCTAGGGGTACAACAATCTTATTTATACACCACTAATCTTTCCACCACACACTTCTTGATGTGGATAATAAAAATGGAGAGTAGATAAAAAATGTATGAATCTTAAAAAAATACTCCCTCCATTCCCAATTAATATGGGTAAATTTACTTCACAAAATTTAATAATGTGTTAAAAAATAAAAAAGTGAGAGATTAAAATATATTTAGTAGAGGGTAAATTCTATGGTGGATTCAAAGTCCACAATGGACCTACATTTGACTCAAATAAGCAATTCCTTACTTAGATAATCATTTTTAAAAACAATAAAAAAAATTAATATAAAGAAAGAGTTTTTACGTGACAATGTTCACAAAAATAATATGCACCCATGATGCACTATAGAAACACTCATAGTAGAGAGTGAAGAAATCATAAGTACAAATTCTTTAAAGGAATGTAGGGAAGTGTATAATTTTTTAGCACTAACAAATCTTTTACTCCATACGATGTAAGAGCATATCAATTTATACATTCTTAACTTATTAAACTATATAACATTAGACCCTATTGGTTTCGAACCTGTGACATCCTTTTTGATAGAGTCACCGTGATGACACTCGACCAAAAGGCTATCAGTTTCCTTTCCCCTTTTTCCTCTTCTCCCAATTCAACATCACGTTAGCTTTAGCTTTTCCCGCTTCACTTCCCCTTTCAGGGAAATGCTTTCCCTTCTCTTCCCCTCTCCGCTTTAGTTTTTAATATTATTTTTTAACACTTATTTTAATTAAAATAATTAAATTAAAAATATAAAAACAATAAAAATTACTTAAAACTATTATTTTATTAAATTTTAAAAAATTGAACATTTCATTAAAATTAAATATAAGAAATACAATAATAGTGCGCCTATGAAATATCATAAAGTGCGTAAAACAAAACTTTATTTGAAGGAAAAAAACAATACATAATAAAAATAAATATAATAGTAAAAAATCTAAACATCCCCGCTCGAGCTATCACCTGCCGCACCTCCAAGCCATCTCCAGGATATCTTATCTTTCATCCTCATCACCACCATATGCTATGTTGGACCAACACTATCAACGTCAGTGGTCATGATTTTATAGTCTTCTTGCCCTAGGCATTGGTGTTCGAGGGCAAGCTCTTCCACTTTTTCTTTGCATCTTTGCTAAAGCATCTCCGCTCTCGCTTGTTGTTTAACCTGAAGCCTCTGTGCCTGCAATTCTGTAAAGGCGAACAATGAAGTGCTGAGATGCTCGAACCCTTTAACCAAGGGTTCGGCCGCTATGCAAGAGGATTCTTCTCCTTCTTCGCGTGATCCTTCCCCGTGGGTCGTTCCAGTTCCTGGTGACGTTTGGATCACTTTGCCCAGACGACCTCGTTTGAAACCAGCACTTACTTAAAACATCCGTGAAAGACGTTCCACGCCCTAAGATGCAGGAATGAAGAAGAGAATTGCGCTTTATATTTATCAAGTATTCCCTGCAACACGCCTTGATAATTCAAAACGCTCGCACGATTCAAGTACATGTTCTTGTAGACACCGCTAACTTTTTGAATTTTTTTTATTCATATTGCGGTATTTGGAAGCTACGGAGTGGACAAGGCGGTACAACTTTGACTTCATCAACTCATGGGATTTGTCAATGACTTTAGCCCAATACCCGCAGCTCGTCTGAGCATTCCCTATACACGAGTGATTAAAATTTAAGAAAAAGTAAAATATAATGAAAACACTAATTTCGATAAAAAAATTAATTCAAGTTAAATGCACCTCTTATGGAGTCGGTAGAAATGTTGATTCAAGCTTTGGCTAATGTTTTCTCCTTGCTCATGGTTTAGGGTTTTGGAGCACTCCCAAGTCGTGCTTGGTCCCTAATTACATTTTCTCTTCCCTTTCAATTTCTTTGGAGGTTGTGCATCAGGGACAACCTTACCGATATCATCTTCGATATTGAAAGGGTCGTCGTGTGTGGGATCAAACGCAAAGGGGAGAATTGGAGGAAGACATCGGTGGTCAAAATGGATTCATGGTACTCATAAATGTGAAAAGTAATCAACAAAAATAGTAGTTGAATTCAAAGAAATGGATGAGAAGTACAGTGTGTGAAAAAGATGGGTGGAGTATTGTGTTTAAATAATGAAAATTTTTGAATGTTCTTTGTTTAAATTCCCAACAGTTACATTAAAAAAAACAAAATCTGACCGTTAAAGCCGAACGGAAAGAACAGGAAGGGAGTCTCGCCTTTTCCATTACCGCATGTGAGAGGGAGGGTCTTCCCCTTAGATTCCCTTCTCGCGCCATGTGACTTTTTCTTTTCCCCCTTCGCGCTGCGCACCAGATAGCCTAAGGAAAACAAAAAAGTGAAAATTATGAATTTATTTTTATTTCATGTTTTATTACTTCAAACACAGACAATTTTTAAATTCAAAAATATTAGAAAGAATAACTAAAATAAGACATTAAAAATGAATAAAAAACAACACAAACACACATAAGACACATAAAGATACATACGAGAGAAAAACACAAGCACAAAAGCTCAAGACAACTAATATTAATTAGAGAAAGACATAGCATGCCGAAAGCACAAAGTAAAAAGTGAGAAAAATACCACCTAACCCAGACGCCTACCCAACTACCTTAATCCTATCTCTCCAAAAGTTTTTATTTAAGGTCATATTCTCGTTAAGGTTAAGTACCCTTAGGTCCTCTCTAAGTATTTTCTTCTAATTCTTCCTAAGTCTCCCTTACCATATCCTCAGCCACCACCGTGAGCCTCACACACGTCCACACTGGGGTTCAACACTCCACCGTCTCACATGCCCAAACCACCTCCATCTAACTTTCTGGAACTTACCCTCAACCAGTGCCACTCCCACATGTCCTCGGACAACCTCGTTTTGAATCTTATCTAACCTTGTCTTTTCACACATTTATTGCAGTATCTGCGTCTTAGCAGCATGCAGTCGAGAAACATGAGTCTTCTTAACTACCCAACACTCAACATCATACAACAACATGGCTAGTCTAAATGTAGATCGATAAAACCTACCCTTTCATCGTAGTTGAAAAATACTTATCGCACTTAACCCCTGAAGCCAACCTCCATTTTGCCCAAGCTCCTCTAACATGATGTGCAACATCCTCGTCTAAGTTTCCATTCGTCTGTCGATCTAAGATATTAACGCTTGTCAACCTTGGGTGCGAGGTTAGAATCAATCCCAACTTCCATCTTTGAATCCGTCACTCGGCCACTAAAATAGCATTCCATGTATTCAGTCTCAAGCCTTTAGATTCCAGGGCAATGCACTAACGCTCCAAGATTACATTTAGTCCTTTGCGTGTCGTTGGCCAACACGATAATCTATTTATTCCATCTTATTTTAGCGTAGGATCTAATTGGAAAATAACATTCAAATTACACTTTAAATAGACTCACCTTCAGATGTAGAATTGTTTTTCGATACAAGGGAGTAATATTCAAGAACTACTAAATTGTTCTAAAAAACAACTTGGCAAATAAACTTTTCAAGCTTTTTAAAGAAGTTGAAAAAACAATGTAAGTATATATTCATTTACCCTCAATAGAAGTGGGTGAAGTATATAAAATGAGGTGAGTCGGGTATAATAAATGAGGAGAGTGGGGTAATAATGGCATTTCTAATTTATTAGTATGTATAAGGTTTTTGACTTTTGTGTGGATAAATAATCTCCAATAAGTTTACCTTTTCACAGTTTGTAAAATCTAATTTCGTTTTTCATACTTTTTGTAGTAATTCCACTATTCGAGTACTTGTGCGTGTTTTAGCCTTTTGGGTTGTTCCTACCATAGTTTTCAGAACCGAACCGGTGATCGAACCGGTCAAGGCACTGGTTCACTGGTTTACTGGTCGAACCAGTGGTTCGAGTGGTTGAACCGGTGGTTCAAACATTTTTAATAAATAGATTATATATATATATATATATATATATATATAAACTGATATATGATTAATAAAATAATATTTCCTCTATTTATAAATAAAGAATTGATGTTTTACTAAGCTTAAAGTTTAACTTAATTTACTTGAATTGTTTCATTAAATAAAAAATAAAATTTACTTATTTAAAAAATCTTAGAAATAAAAAGTGATTTGAATTTTTTTAAACATTTTATCTAGTATTTAAAAATATATACATTTTATTTGTGTGATATGAAATCCATATCAATTACCTCAATGGGTTTTGAATTTTAGTAAAAAAAAACTATATATACTTAAAAAGTATTTGATAAAAAATTTGAAAGAAGAATATATCAATTGAGTAGGAGAAGGTTCCCATCAAGCAACGTAGCAGAGATGGTTTGGAGAAGCTCTTCCCTCCCATCTAGTTTCGTGTTCGAACCCCCGGGAAAACCGGAAAACCGGCCGGCGGTAAAACTGGAACCGGCGGTAAAACTGGCCGGTTTTCTCTGGTTTTAACCGGTTCATAGTCAAAGGCGGTCTTCATGCCCGGACCGGTTTGGTGTCCGGTTCACCGGTTTCCGGTCCAAACCGGCCGGTCCGGTCCGGTTTTTAAAACTATGGTTCCTACCCTACTAATGAGAAATTAACATGTGAGTAGTAGGAAATGTAAAAAGATAAAAGCATGTTGGCTTTGTGATAAGGAAGTGAGCTTAAGGTTTCATACGTTCAGTGTTCAAGTCACACCCTTGTGATAAAAAGTTGAGATTAGTTTAAACAAATATTAAACGGATGGGTATGAGAGCCACTAAGAAAAGATGTCCAGTTATGAGTCTATGAAAAATATGTTAAAAAATTCACATTTTACGTATGGACCTTATGACCACAATAGCACAATATGCCTATAAAATGTAGGATTATTTGAGGTGTTTGCTCTCTTTTAGTATAAAGAGTATAAATTTCATTTTAGCTAACACCATTTTCTATTTTATATAAAATCGATTAAACACAAAAGAACTATTTTCACCGTGTTTATACACAATTTTCTAAAGATTTTAATTTAAAAAAGGATAGAACCCCCATCATCGGGGGGTCTTTTAACACTAGTCTGACAGTTAGTAGAGAGACGGTAAATTGAGCTATAATATCTGTTAGTTGGCGTAGAGTACATGGGGTTCCATGCCTAGTACTTGCAGAGACCCCATATTTTGCATAGTTACCCCTCATCGCAGCCACATGGTTTCGAACTAAAGATCTCTCTTTTGTAACACTCTTATGCCAACCGTTGAGTTATGCCTTGGCAAAAATTTAAATTTAAAAAATTCATAACATCAAAGATTTTATTGCCTTCAATTGTAATATTTTGAACTTCCATTAATCCAAAACATTTTTTTGTACTAGAAGTTTTTCTGCAAAATGATGGAAGGACGATTCCTTTGTTTTGATATGATGTACTCCCTCTGCTCCCTAAGATCTTCTCATTTTAACTTTTGTAATTCTTAAAGAGCATTGAAAAAACGTGAAAGTTTACCAAAATATCCTTAATAAAAATGGGTGCAGTGTATTAAATGTGGTGTATGCTTGAGGTGTAATATATAAAGTAAATGAGGGTAGTTGTAGTATTTTAAATATTAAAAAAGATAATGAGAAGATCTATGAGTGAAAAATAAAATGCTAAAAAATAATTTATGGGGGACGGATGGAGTAATACACTAATTACTTTATTTATTTCTTATTTATCTTACATGCCAAAATATGTGGTAATAGAGGGGGTGATGTACATTTGGGATATACTTTTGGTGTATCTCTAGAAATTTTGTTTCTTTTTCTCGTGCAATACCAAAAGCCAACCGTCAGAAGGGAATGAATTGTCTGAGCTATGATGTGGCATAGACAACATAATTCGCTAAGTGTTTGTTTGGTACATTTGACGGAATTAGAATTGAATTGAAAGTTGGAACTCTATAGAATTGATTTGGGTGGAATTGAATTCTCTAATTCGAGTTCATTTTTGGCACTACCACTTCCAAATCCACATATTTTTGTGCTATCAAACATTAGAATTGAAATTGTTGTCCCCAGTTCCAATTTCATAGTTTGATTCCCGTGTACCAAACGGAACCCAAACGATTTGCAAATACAAAAGAAATTTATCAATCTCCCTAAGGTGGGAATAAGATATTTATAGTCATTAATGAATTAATCCCCTCTTAAAAAAGAATTTTTATTTTGACTTTTGGTAAACTTAAAAAAGAGTGTATTTTGTAGTTGACGTTTTAATTATGTCTTTGAATGATAAAGTAGAATGTGATTGTTAGATTTATAGTGAAAGTATTTTGGGCTTGTTATTTAAAATATGAGTATAAGATAGGAGAAATATTATGGACGTAAGATTGCTAAAGCGTTGGCCATTTGGTTACAAATTTTGTGTTTAGTTTTAGCGTTTTGGAAATGCTATTAAGGACGATGTTCATCTTTAACATTTTTATAGCCAGCCTACATGCGCAACTCAAAAAATTCATAAGATCAACAATAATTTAAAATAGTAATTCTAAAATGAATATAATAATATTATAAAAATATTTTATTTATAAATTACGATCAAAGGATATAAATTTTTTTTAAAAAATCAAACTACAATTCATTAGAGTAATAAACTTAAGGATAAATACTCATAGGGTTGTAGAGCTAGTATTTATTAATTTTAATTTTTTCTAGTCAAGGTAGACAAACTTGAATCACCATTAATTTTAAATTTGCATTGCATAATCAAACAATAAAATACATTTTTGATAATCTGATCTACTATAAGATAAATCTAGTGAAATTATTTGTGTACTAATATTATTAAGAATACTATTAAGATCAAATTCTATAGGGCTCAAGTTTGGCAGGAGAAAAGAATGTAGAATACATACATTTGACATCTCGATATATATATAATTCTATAGGGCTCAAGTTTGGCAGGAGAATTGAGTGGTACACAAGAAGAGTGTTGGGTAGTGTGCCGAGTTTTCAAGAAGAAGAGCTATCACAAGGCTCTTGATCGTGTCCCTCATAATAGTGGTGATCTTGCCCAAAGCCATCTTGGAAACGACGGCGTTCTCGATCAAATTCTCACGTACATGGGAAGGGTCTCTTCTAAACAACAGATATATAACGGATCGAATAATAGTAAAAAAATTGACACTACTGACAGTGTTGTGCAATTCATGCACCTTCCAGGACTCGAAACCGAACCGGACATGGATACCACCACTTCCAATAAACATCTCCACCATCATCATCTTCCCAGCACCAATAACTCAACATTCTACAACCAAGCATTTGAAGAAGACATTTTCAGCCAGACCAAACCAGTTGGCGGTGGTGTGAAAACTGCAGTGGGTTCGACCAATTGGGTTACAATGGACCGCCTGGTTGCTTCTCAGCTCAACGGCCAAGATGACAACCTATATTTTCCCATTGTGGATCATTCTACGCGCAATGATCATTGCCATGTTTCTGATCATCCCAACAGCAATGAGGTTGAGTTCTGGAGCTACCCGAGCTCGTATGGGTCACCGTCTGATCCTCTATCCCACTTGTCTGTATAGTGCCTGCCTGCCTGTGTGCTCGCGCCGCATCCTACAACAAACTAAGACTGTACTCCATTTACTTATCCTGGTGTTACCATCGATCGAACACAACATCATAATTAAAACGTATGTATAGCTTTCTTTGTCAAACCTATATGATTGTGAGTGTCATATGAAGAATACAAATCATACATCAACCAGTTCACAAATAAATTCATCTATAGGTAGGGTCTCAATGAATTATGTATCTTTGTTCTGTTGGGGTGGTTTATCTAGAGTACTTAGTATCATATAAATAATTGAAATCATACTTTAATTTACAAATAAATGCAAAAGGGTCTTAATGTATTGTGTACTGTATTGGAAAAATCACCTCAATTTTCTAGGAGAATAAGTGATCGATAAATTTTCCATCTTTTTGTTTTAAGAAGAAAAAAAATCTATATATGTTTGAATACGGTGTTTTCCAAAAATCGAATACTCACTTTCGAGTAACAAAATACTCGTATTCGTGCATAACTGAATGCTCTTTTTTGAATAACAAAATACTACTCATTTTTCAGTAACTGAATAATCATATTCGGGCATAACTAAATTTAAGAAAATTGAGTATTCAGTTACTCGAATGTGAGCATTGAGTTGCTCGATGTTATGAGATATGCGAATTACTCGAATGTTGTGAGCATTCCGCATTCAATTGAGTATTGAGTTAGAAAGTTTAGATTTAGTTTAATTATTATTTTATTATAAAAGTCCTTTCATTTATTTATTGAATTGTAGCGTCTATTTTAGTCATCAGGCTTTACAAGGAAGCCCAAATTACTCTACTTTTTTTAAACAAGGTACCTTTGTTCTTTCTGCATTTATTTATTTTTTTTTATTTTTTTATAAAGAAAACCACATTTCCTCTTCTTTTTTATATTACTTGACATTGTCAATTCCGCCTGACACCGAAATAAAACACTTCATTCATCCAGGTCTGCAGCCCCTTCTGAATTTGGTTATCATTTCAGTGATCAGTGCAACGATTAAATATTAAATAAAGTATTTTTTTTTTGTATATATATTTTTACGACTTAGCTTTATTTCCAATTGGTTCACCAATCTTCATTCATGAAATAATCAAATCTTTTTTTATACCAAACTTTCGTCCAATCCAAAATCAATTTTTTAAAAAAACATTCTGAATAATTACCACTACAATTTAACAAATTAAATTTTAAATTATCCATTTACCCTTATCTTTTTTTTATAACAAGGTAATTTTTTTATACAAATTTGTTTTAACCGACTACAAATCTATCACCTTGAAACTTTAATAGCTCCGCTTCAAAAGTAACTTCTTAAAAATACTTTGACAATTTTTTTTGAAGTCGCCTACGCGCTGAGTTAGCACGTGACGCATGATTTGTTTTTGGGAACTTTTTTTATAAAGCACATGTTAGCTTACAAACAAAACCACAAACAATCAGGACAACAATTTCACATAAGCACATAATAAGGATTCAGAGTTACCTCCTAGAGCAGTGACGTCGCGAAACTGTGGATGCTCATTTTTAGAACTATTCAAATATTTTTTTTTTGAGATTTTCATTTTCATTTATTCATGTTTTTTTATAGACATTTTAATTATATATATATTTTGAATAATATACATTTAACTACACTTTTTTTTTGAAATTATACACTTAATTATTTTGGCAAAGAATCATTTTTAAAATCATGTTCTCTGATACCAAAATGTAACACCCCAACTCGCGTAACCCGAACCAAGGAGTTAACGAATCGGGTTGCTACTAAATTGGTGTTCACAGCTCAACAATTTAGACAGATTATTCAAAAACATTCAAGCACCAAAATAAATATGAAAGGTTCAGTGTAAAGTCCATCATGTGCGGAAGCCTTAAAATAATGTTCTACAATCAATGTTCAAACCACGTAATTAATAAACACATAATTAGATGTCCATAATAAAGATGGTGACGTCATCCACAGTGTCACGTGTGAACGTCCTCCACGCATGCCCTCATGATCCAAATCCCTACCTGCGTGCAGTCAAAGACAATAAGCGCTCAGCTGAGTGAGAGAATATCTAACGCTAGAGTTAATTTCACATATAGTATCGCATTTATATAATCAACAACAGCAGTGAATAACCAACATTTATTTTTAGTTACAAGGATCCAACAGTTTCAATTCATATATTCCCAAAGGGCTATTTCGGTCCCTACAACACTAGGCTAAATTCAACAGACTGGAGTTACGGACACTCGAGCGGATCCCTCGAGGCCGATGTCGGACAAACCCAAACAGAATCCTCAATGGGCGGGTTGGAGTCCCTACCAAGGAATCCCTTAGGTAGGACAGTGACTCCCGTATGTACGTTTTGAACCCTGTACCACTAGATATGCAAACATGCTCCACAAGGCCCGAACCTAACAACAGTCATATTGGTGATTAAACTATCCAATTCAGTTCAGATCTGCCTAGGTGTACTACGTGGCCAATTTTCAACAGAGTTCTCAAGTGATAACAATCACTTAAACATTTCCATAAACAGAACACACTAAGCGGCCTATCGGAAGAATCACTTCTCAACGATTACCGTCATGCTCAAACAACAAGATTTAACCTAACAATATTAAATTAACTTACCTGTGTCGCGAACTCAGGGCTTAGGACTTATCCTCAGACCCGCTGCACCTGCCGGAACAGTATCAATTACCACCAGATCAGCCTGACAACCCGCTGGACCGACCCAGTGACCCAGAAATCAACCAACCAAGCCCCCCAGGCGGCTAGGAGCCTCACCGCCCTCTCGGGCAGTCGGCCCAAACTGGCCCAATCGGCACAACAGCTGCCTGGCAGCCCTCAACCGGCCCAAAACAGCCCGAACCAAACCCGTTCGCGCCCAACCAAGCCAAACCAACCCGTTTGCACAAGAAATAATCCAATTGGAACCCGGACAGCCCCGATTGAACCCATTTGAACTCAAATGAACCCAATTACATTCAATTTGACCCAATTGGAACCCGGACAGACCCGATTGAACCCATTTGAACCCAATTGCACAAGAAGCAACCCAAATGAACCCAATCCAACACCCCAGGCGCAGCCACCGCCGGCGACCGGCTGGCCGTCCGTCGGAAAACAGCCCCCAATCAACCCCAATTCTATCCCCAATCGATTCAACACACAATCCACCAAAAATTTCGCAATTAAACACAAGATTGGTACAAACAAGATCCTAATCTACGAATTAACGCTAACGAGAGGTATTGGGAAATGAATCACACCTCGAAATTGGAAGAACTTGAATCAGAGGAAGAGGGGTAGCCGCTGCCCTGGTTCAGCCGAACCCACTGCGCGACGGGGAAGGGAGGCGGACGACGTCGGCGACGGCGGTGGAGCTCCCTGCGGCTGCTGGCTGACCGGACGGCGACGAAGCGACGGGCGCAGAGCAGAGGGACGAACGGCAACCGAACGGAAGAGAGAGAGCATAAGGCCGTAACCCCCTTTTGCTACTCCCTCAGTCCTCTTCCCACACACTTTTTACACGGTCAAACTTTAATCACTTTCTTTACCTATTTTCATTAGGTAAATGATAAAATAATATAATCTTGTCACCACTTGTTTTGTAGAACTTTTGATGTAGTTTTTAAATATATAAATTTTATTTTTTAATTTTACACCTACAATCAAATAAATTGATTTGAAAATAAAGTCGGTCAAACTTCGTAAAATGAACCTGGAAGATCATTATAGGACGGAGGGAGTATTTAATATTGGGTTATTTTCCAAATATTTGGGAAATGCATTCCAAATGGTGAAGGGGTGTAATCTTTTTTTTTAGGTTAACGGTAGAGCCACTACCGTAACCCTTGCGTTATTTATAAATATGAAATTAAATACTTCCCTTTGTTAGATATAGGCATTAAATTTAAACATTAATAAAATTTTTATTCATTTGATGCACTACTACTGAAATTAAAAGCATACAAATAAAAGTTGTCGTACATATTTAAAAAACCACATTGAAATTTATAATTTAACTAAGTATCCCGATGATGCCTTCATGATCGCATATCCATATTATTTAGGGGTGTGCACCGGTCCAAAACCGGACCGGACCGGACCGGAACCGGAATCCTCTATTTGCAAGAACCGAAGACCGGACCTGTTAGATAACGGTCCGGACCTGAATTTTCCGGTCCGGGCCGGGTTTACCCTATTATGGACCGGAATTTAAACATAAATGACCTATTTTTCATTATAAAAAAATCATATCTAAATTGTATATGTAAATATATATGTAATACCATCAATCCCCAAATTTATAACAATAACAATTCACTTGGGAGGGCAATTGTTAAATTCATAAGTTCATAACACTACAAAATCTATGAAAAAAAATCTCAAACCAAAGTTCAAGCTTCAAAGAAAAAAATTAAATAAAAAATACTTAAAGTAAAATTTGAAATTAAGTAACATATCATGCTAGGAGCCTAATAAAATTGAAAAAAGAAGAAATTTGAAAGGATAATGGTCTAATGAATTAACTATTTATTTAAAAAAATTAATATTTTATTATATACCGGTCCGGACCGGATAATTCCGGGTTTAGACCGGATTGGACCGGAAACCCGGAATCCTAAATTTTGGAGGACCGAAGACCGGACCTGAAAATTCCGGACCAGTCCGGACCGGTCCATTCCGGTCCGGTTCAGGTCTAAATTCCGGTCTGGACCTGTTAATGCACACCGCTAATATTATTTGTGAAACGGGTGCTCACTGGACGACCAACCTGCGACCTTTGCCCTGTAAATGGTCGGACTAATTCAAAACCAAGGGTAAGCCATTCAATTTCCTTTTGTAGTGGCATAACACTTCCAGAATATGCATCGAGGTAATTCTGAAGTGAAAATACTCGTGGAATGAGATCATCAACCGTAATGTTGTTGCAATAACGACATACAGCGTAGACATGCACACATGGCATGTGCAATGTGGCCCATTTCCCGCAACTGCAAAATTTTTGGCCCAGTTGCACGACAATCTCATCTAATCTACCGTTAGCTCCAACGTTTCCCTCAACAACGACCCGTTAAATCTCTTGTTGCGGATGATGGGGGATAACATGGCAATGTAAACGATGGTCTTCCATGCGTCTCACCTAGTTCCAAATATATTTTGGGAACTTAAATCCCGCTTGTAGCCATGTAAATCCGTTTGTATGCCTTTCTGCAAATAATTTTACTAATTGCTCGTATGTTGTCTTCACAATAGCGTATACCAGAAGAGACCGGCATCCCTTAAGCACGTGATTGTAGCTTTCCGAAAGATTAGTGGTCAAGATTCCATATCGAGCCCCACCATCGGAACAGAGTGCCCACTTCTCTAATGGCAAAGCCAACAACCAGTCATATGCCTCCTCCCATTGTGACTTAATTTGTTGCATTGTTCGATTGAATTCATAGACATCTAGGGTACTGGCTGCATGATACATCAAGCCCTTCAGTTTTTTGCTATTGAAATTCGTGTGAAAATTACTTCTCAGGTGGCGCAGGCAATATGTCGTGGTGACACAATATTCCAATAACTGGGGGATAGTATTGAAAGCTACATCAATGCCCTCGTGCCTATCAGAAATGATGCACACCGACATATCGTAAGGTACTACATAATGCATTAAATGCATCATGAACAACCAGCTCCAACTATCCCCATCTTCTTTGTCAACAACGGAATAAGCTAAGGGGTAAATCTCGTGATTTGCTGTCATTGTTACTGCCAACAACAAACCCCCTTATATTTCCCATACAAGTGGGTGCCATCAACAGAGATCACGGGAAAACAGTACTTGAACCCATCTATAGACGCTTTGAAAGACCAGAAAGCGTACATGAACTGAAAATGTAACGACCTTCCCACTCTTCAACAAAATGTGATGATCAAAGTCAATATCCACAATACTCTGATGACGGCCTTCCCACTCCTCTACAAAATGTGACGTCCTAGGAACCATGGTCCCTATGGTTGTCCTGACGGCGTGCAACTCACGATCATAATCCACGGCCTGAGGGATATCCTGAAGTCCATCGAACTGGCGACAGAATCGATCCGGGTAATACATCTCCACCATATACGTGTATATCAACGAAACACATGCACACCATATTGCGAACGCTGTGGTGCAGTGAGGATGGAAAGACTGGAAAGCGGGGTATGGCATCCAAATGAACTGCGTAAAGAAGCAAATAAAACAGTCTATAACACTACTACGATTAATATAATAGAATGGATATAATAGAATGGATAGACTATACCTCTCTCCCATGTAGCCTGTCTAACTGGTCCCTGTACGGACAAATGGAATGAGACGGTGACACTGTCCAACGATGATAACACACCACCTGTGAAGAAACATATAAAAAATAAGTACTATATTAATTGAATAGTTGTAAAAAACAATTCATACGTAAAATTACCTAGCCCCATACGGTGCTCTCTCCCATATTCGGGTGGAAGTACGCCATGCGGTCTACATATCGGGATGCGCTCCCACGCCCAAATCTGTAATAGAATGAGAGGGCCGCCGATTTGTGTCGTCTCTGATAGCGCTGCACGACATAAATTACTGTAAAGGCAAGCCAATGTCGCGGAGCCTATAGCGCGACTTCGGACTTCTTGCGCCGTGCCAACGAGCAACTCCAAAAGGCACAAGTTCACCTTGTTACCCGTCGTGCTAGCAAACAGAGCACCACCCTTAATCTTAAACATCAATGCCCGAGCATGTTGCCGAAAGTCGACCTTCGGGCTATGATCACCAACAGGAATGAGTACGACCGCATTCATTTTGATCTGGTCTTGGTCACGTCCTCTAAAGATGGCCTAAACCCTAACATATCTGAACAAAATTGGGCCCAATACTCTTCGGTGTTGCCACGGGAACCAACAACCGGGGTGCCATCTACGGGAAGACCAAGTAGGACCTCTACATCCTGTAATGTGATCCCAACATCTCCAAACGGCGTGGGATCCTGTAATGTGATCCCAACCTCTCCAAACGGAAGATGAAAGGCGTGCGTCTTTGGTCTCCACCTCTCCACTAAGGCGGTAATCAAAGCCCAATCTATTTGTAACTTAGAAATTCTTTCAACCCCGTAAAATCCATATCCACGCAATATATTCACAACTTGTGGATGACGCTCCACACCAAACCCTTCCCTCAAGCTACTTAAAAATTTCACACATTTCACCAGTACGTCCCCAAACTCACGGTCTTGCCACACCCTCCACGGTCTTATTTCTATTTACATTTTCACCGGGATGTTTGTCGGGGCCCAAGACTAGTACATCGGGAACAATTGGTCCCAGATGGACCTCCGTTCTTTGAAAATTCATTGTTCAACAAAATTAATATTTTTATTTTATGAATACGAGAAATCAAAAGTATGTAATGCACTATAAAAAATTCCACAAATATATCACACAAAAGATTCGGATATCTCATAAACATCAAAATTTTCAAAATTCTCAACATAGATCTAAACTACATTTTCAATTTTCTAAATTATCAACATTTCAATTTTCTATATTCTCATCCAAAATCTAATCACAAATATATCTCATAAACATTTCAATCACCAAATATAAATTTAAATTCAAAATTTTGGGAATAAAATTAGAGAAAAACGGTACCGTTTGTACCGTTAAGCTGTGCGATGGCGACGGCTGGACGGCGTGCGACGGCGATGGCTGGACGGCGTGCGGCGGTGACGGCTGGACGGCGTGCGGCGGCGACGTGTTGGCGGTTAGGGACGGCGGCGAGGTTGAAGAGGAAGGGCGCCGCTGCTTCTTCGAAAATGGGATGGAGGGGTTGGGTTTTGGATATAATATGGATGGTTATCCATCCAATGAGTTTTTTTAGACATTACGGTACTGCTTGTACCGTTAAGGTCTTTTTAATAAGACCGAAATTAATTTCTTTTAATTTAACGGTAGTGGTTGTGCCATTAATCTCTTTTTCCCTCACTGATCGGGAATGCTTTGTTTCTTTCTTCACTGATTGGGAATTAATTCTTTATTACTTTGTATAATATTTAATAGATATTTAGGGTCCAGTTTACACTTTTTAGCCAGTTAGGATAAATTTAAGCCCAATTACCCCATTCGGCAGTCGTAACTTGGGCCTAGTAAGTCTGATTCTCAATCCGTTTGCGCAGTCGGGTTCTGAACAGCGAGTCCTAAAGCGTAGGTCAACTCTCATACTAAATACACAAATTAGAAGATAATCTTTGTATTGACCGGCGTAGTAATTAATTAATTATATAAATTAATTAAAAATACTAAGCCGGGTTTCGGGGCGTTACAATCTATGTCTTGGGGTTTTTGGTCTTAAACTCTTTAGTTTTCTGTGCTTGTCTTCTTATCCTTTGCATAATCTTCACTTCAAGAACACATCCTTTGTCATCACCACAAATTTTGCTTCATTGTTGGCCAACCACAGCATCTTGACTTCATTTTTTGTCATTCATTAATACCTCGACTTGGAAATCATGTTAAAATACCATAGCACATACTAATGATTTCCACATGAGTTATAACACCTTAAGGTTAACTAATTAGACTATGTAATATATAAATGGTCCAGAGGTTGAAAATGATTTCTAATTGATTATCCATAAGGTCTAGGTTATTAGGCCATTGTTTCAGCCCAATCTAGACCCGTTTTCTGACCCAAAGAAGGTCCAAAGTGGTTAGCTGTTCACCCTAATAACTTAGACCTTACTTTTGATCATTTGGATGCAATTTTTAGACCTACAATTAAGTGGAATATTCGTGATTGAATTGGAAAGGTAAACATGGATTTCAATTACTTAATTCAATACTGCACATATGATTGATTCGGAAAGGTCAAGGCTTATGTGTTGTATGAAGATACACATGTGGGTTTTAATCCCAATGTTATGCCTCAATTTATTTGTTATTATTCATGATTATATTATATTATGAATTATGGATTTGGTGTTTATTAAGTTATGAAATTAAAATTGAAATCCTAGTTTGGATGATTAACTCTAAATACTGAATTGCAGAAAGGCTACCTATGAGAGTTCTAGATTTGACCTAAAATAATGAAGCTAGAACTTCAATAAGATATCAGAGGCATGTGGACTTAGGTTTTCCACATGCTAGGATTTAAACGTACAAGAGTCTAGGATCTATTGTAGAATATGATAGGGGCACCATCCGCCTATCAAAATAAAATGTGAATACATTCACGACAAAAATGTGAAAAAAATCATGAAAATCAATAACAAAATGTGAATACATTGCAGTCATAGTTTCAAAATATCAAGGAACAATAAGTATGTTTTGAAATGACCATTATGTATTGACTATAACCTAAAATACTACAACGTTCGTCCTAAAACATTCTTCATTTTTGGTTTGTGATGTTTGACTGAATATTTTTTCAATTCAATTTATTTGATTATACGTGTAAAATTTAAAAATAAAAGTTATATATTTAAAAAATAAATTAAAAGAACTACAAACAAGAAGTGACACAAATATATTATTTTATCAAATGACTAATGAAAAAAGCTAAAAAGTAATCAAAGTTTGACCGTGTGAAAAGTAAGTCTGAAGAAAGTTTTAGGGCGGAGGGTGTAATGTATTATCTTTTGAGAAAATGTGCATTATACTCTGAATTTCTTTGACATAAGAAGCTTAAGCTATGTATTTATACATACTATGTTATACCATATCTTACACAAACATGAACTTATATGACTGACGTGCAACAAGAAAAAATGAATTCTGGTATGATATTGTGAATCCAATTAGTGACCTTAGTTTTTTTTGAGTATTATGAGAGCTCAAACATAATACTTAAAGTGATGAGCCTAGCATATGAAGTAAAAAGAAGATAAGAGTCGTGTGGGGGTGAATAGAGTTGATGTTCTAGAATGAGCATTTTTGGCATCGTGTGTGAATAATAAAATTAAACATACCAGGAAATAAAAGTGTATAAAAGAAAAACATCACAATATATACAAATTCACCACACCGTGGCTAGTCCAGTCCCCTCTCTCAAAGTATTCCACTACCTTTCAAGTTATAACGGGTGCTTGAAAAGCTTTTATAACTTGAGAACTTGAGTCAGACAAATCTTAGCAACACTAACTCAAAGGATGAAAAACTTTAAAAGATGAAAAGGTTATAACAACACTAGATGAAAAACTCACAAACTAAGCAAGAAAGTGTTTAAAAGATAAGTTCTAATGGAGCACAAGATATTAACAATCAAAAGGGGTGCCACATCTCATTACAAATGATCTAAAGGTAGAACTCCTTTCTCAAAGAGTCCAGCATCTTAGAAGCACGCGTGAATCTCTATATGTGTTACTCTTACAAATGGCTTCGGTTGTAGAAGACTTCTGCTATGACTCTACTAGGATTGACACCTTGTGTATTTGTGATGAAGTCTGCCTCTTGGAACATGTGTGATACAGAATAGAAATTTAACCAAGCGAAAAGTCTTGACAGACGAGAGAAGTTCAGGTGAGAATGAAGATCACACCGTCAATATTCCTTATTAAGTGTGTGATCTCGCATCAATGTTTTCTTGAACTATCCTATTGCTGCGTGAGCGTTTGAACATGAGTTCTTAGCTATATCCAAAACGTGATCTTTGATTTTCTGAAGTAAGACCAGCAACACATCCTCAAAGAAGATCTTGGAGAAGGTGTAGGGTTCCAAAGAGTTGGCCGCAAATCGAGTTTGTCATCATATCACTTGTAAGAGGTTTATTCTAATAGATACATAGAGTCTAATTTTGATTGAATGTGTAAACTCTATAGTGATTTAGTGAAGGGTTGTTACACGAACGTGGGCCTCACATATGTAGGAAAAATTAGTCAAAACTGCGTAAACAATTTGTGTCTTGTTTAACGCTTTTCTAGTTATAGTTGTTACTTTTTGTCACATGAGTTGTTACATCACAGCATGCGCCATCTATCACAATAACTTGTGTTGTAACAAGCTTTATGCTCTGACTTGTCTTTTTAGGTGGCTGATGTGTATATGTTCTACCGATCTGTTTGGGTGACAAATTACTCCTTCTAGATTTAAGAATAAACCTTGGGTTTCTTAAAAATCTAGAATCTCGTATGGAGTTACATCTCTTTGAATGGATTAAATACCTTAATGCACAAACTATTCAAGGTTTTTTCTGTTTTCTTATTTACAATGGTCATGAGGTTAGCAACACCTGAAAGTTTAGGTTGGGAATAAATGTAATTCTTTTTGACATGTTTTAGTGGTTTTGGTTGATTATTTGTACTATTTTTTCTAGTGCGTGGGAAACCAGGACTAGAGCTTGTTCTTTTTGCAATACAAGAGGGAGATTTTTTATAAGAAGCTTCAATTTGCTTCAAAGGTTAGATATTCTAAAAATTGTGGCTTTTTATTTGTTTTTTATTCATATTGGAATTTGGTTAGGTGTGGTTTGTTATGTTTCAACAACAAGTTTAAGGCTTTGCTTTAGATGTGTGTAATTGAATTGATTCTTTGTTTTATATAATTTCGATTTTAATGCATGGCAATCTTAAATGCTTCTTAGCCAAATTATATTCTAGTGATTTTTAACTGGCTAGCCAACAAACTAAATGATAGCAAATCCAAAAATATTACTCCCTCCGTACCAGAGTATTTGTCCACTTTCATTTTTACACACCATCCGATGCACTTCTTTAATCTATTTTATCTTGTAATTTGTATATTAAAAAATTATAGAAATTATATACTCCGTATTAATAATCTATATGTTAAGACAAATCAAACAAGATCACACATGACTATATTTAGGCTTACACATTGAGAGAATTTGATGAGTTAAAGTGCTTAGATGAACAGTTCCAAAAGTCAAAAGTGGACAAAAACGACGGAGGTGGTAGTTTTAACAACACTGTACTTAAAGACATTATCATCATCAATGTACTACAAAGCCGACGATGGGTCCGACCCAAACGAAGCAACCCAAAGCCGGTCTCACACCAACGACGGCCACCGGCATTTTCTCCGTCCATTGCACCAGCAGCGAACCAGTGACGTAGCCAGCAGCTTCCATCTCTGGCGAAGCTCTAGTCTAGCGGCAACACTGCGACCAACAATTGCAACGGTAGTTGATGTGGCAACCCACCTCTTTCAATTCCAGCGAGCCCATTACCAGCAAGAAGACAACACCTCTTCCTCCATGGTTTCTCTGGTGAAGTGCACTGACCCGACTCGACGAACAAAACGCAACTGCACAGTTCTAGATCAAATTTTAGCCAGTGAAAAGACTCTTTTACCCCCCGATTCTTATACTTTAAATTTTTTGTTTGTATCTTATATTGGTCATTTCACTCCCAGTTTCTCCTACTCTATATATACTCATCTAGCTCCACATTTTCAAGGGAGCTTCCCCATTTTATATTTGTGAAATTTACCCAAGAGAGCACCAAAACATAGGTGTTTTACCTAAATGACATCACTACTAATTTTTCCTCTCTCTAGCACTAAATTCCATCCCTAATACCGTGCATACCCTTCCGTCTCCAAAGGCCACTAAAACTCATTCCTTTTAATTTTTACTTATTTTTGGAAAACAAATCATTAATTATCCCTAATTTTCAGGAATAAACTGATTGCCCTCTTGATTACCTGCGATAAAACTCCTACCGGTTCCTGATCGTGCGCCACTCTACATGCGCCTCAATCGCCACATCCACTACCGTCTCTGGAAAAATTAATCTCGCCACATTCTCTCCTGCCGGATCGATTACCCATCTCATTATCATGTTTTCTTCGTTGCTGAATTCGGTATCCATGCCGACGCATCCAGCGCCATCCGTGTTTCGTGTATTGTTGTGCCTAGATGGTGAATGGACGAGTGATGGCTCATTCAGGTCTAAAAGTTTTCATGAACTCATCATCTCATTCGAGAGTTCCTTTCAAATGCTTATTGACGCTATTCGTTCGCTACTTGGCCAAGTTAATGAGCATACTACTTTAAAGATTTCATACAAGTGCAATTCGTCCCCCCACCCGGTTTTGATTGATGATGACAAAAGCTTAGATTCATACCTCACCATGAAATCGCAGGATTTGGATTTGAATTCAATGCCTATGTGTATTGAGCTTTTTCACAATTACCATACGCATGTAGGTACGTGCTCTTCTCTTCCAAATGACCAATCGTTGTACGTGTATGACTCCATCAAGTTTCAATTCATTATCTGACCAGAGCAATGACGTTGCAAGCGTAGAACGTTCTGTGTCATCGTCACATCAGTCCACTAATTACCTAATGGATTCCCCTTTGATTAACTGCCCTTCAAGTTACCAAAGGGACAATGGTGTATACACAATGGACATTGTAATACGTGAACCAAATTTGGATAACGATGACAATTCTACGGTTGACTTGTCTGCAAATGATATTTGCACCAACCTTGATTTCCAAGTTGTAACTCGCTTTGATCCAACTAAAATTGAGTTGGATGCGATTTATGAGAACAAGGGCGATTTAATATACCATCTCAAAATGTTGGCAATCTCTAACCTGTTCCAGTTCCATACTAAGAGGTCGACCAAGAAGCTTCTCCACGTCGTTTGTGTGGAAAACAGGTGCTGTTCTTGGGCTGTTAGGGCAGTTCAATTACCACGCACGGATATGTTCCAAATCCGTAGGTACGTCTTAGTCTTAAAGCATTCTACATGTCCATATTTCACACACCTTATGCGACATTCTGTTGGTTTTCTTCCGTTTTCAGATGCATCCACGAAATTGATTTGTTGTATGTTTTTTTTCTCAACAATTATATCATTAAGTATATGTTGCAATACACGCTGCAATACACAACACTCTAATACAGACACTGTCTCAAAATTAACCTGGACACACTGTCGCAAAATTAAATGTACACACTGTCTCAAAATTATATAGACACACTGTCTTTATAATTTAATGTGCTAAAAAAATTGAACTTAATCGCACTTACTGCCCACATTATAATCTCTATAACTTGTTATTACACTATAATGCCCATATGTATGTTAATTTAGGCTACTGTCCAAACCTTCTTCAATTCGAGTATGCCAAGCACACTGTCTACACCAGGTTATCACACACACTGTCCATGTTCTCCATGGGGTCTGTAAATATCATGCACTTTTAAATGGAGTACACACTGTCCTCCACTTCTCAAGGTAAAAATCAACCTACACTTAATGTTATGTTGTCTTGTCTCAGGTACGATCATGAACATCATTGCCCAATCGATGCACGCCAGGGTAGAACACGTCAAGCTACGTATGATATCATTGCTGATTTAGTCAAATACAAGTACAGTGATGCTACCAACAAACCATACCCGCCTAAGGCCATTATAACAGACATGTGTAGGGATCACGGCATTTCCATGTCATACAAGAAAGCATGGTCTGCTAAGAAGAAAGCAATGCAGCTTGCATTCGGTAGTGATGCAGAGTCGTACGCCATGCTGCCAGCCATGTGTTACATGCTCAATCGGGCAAATCCAGGTTCGTTGATAGACATCACAAGGTCTCCTGAAGGTGTTTTCCAAAATATGTTTTTTTCTCTGTCGGCTTGGAGGATTGGTTGGGCTCACTGCCTCCCAGTTTTGGTTATCGATGGTACATTCATGAAATCATATTATAAGGGCACCCTCTTAACTGCTGTTGCTCACGATGGCAACAAACAAATATTTCCTTTGGCATTTGGAATTTGTGATGCTGAGAATGACTCAAATTGGGACTGGTTTTTCTTAAAACTCAAGGAAGCCCTCAGTATACGACCTGTGCAATACATTTTATCTGACCGTCATGGTGGGATCATCAAGGCTGCTAAGGCACATTTCCCTCGTGTTCCTCATGGTCATTGTGTTCATCACATTTTGGGGAATATTAAATCACAATTCAATGGTTCTGAGAAAGCACTGAGATGGAAATTTTTTGCTGCTGCACGCGCACCCACAAAGTCCTACTGTGATCGATACCTGACCCTACTAGACGATGAGGATCCGAGGATTAGACCATATTTATATTCCATCGGCATGGAGAAGTGGGCCAGATCATGTTTCAATGTGAGCCGCTATTCCATAATGACGTCGAACAATGCAGAGTCCATGAATAGTGTTAACGCGACCCCCCGGGAATACCCCATCGCTCAGCTTGTTGATTTCATTGTTGGACGAATGCAAAAATGGTTTCACGATCGTAGGGAACTTGCTCATTCAACATCTACTATTTTGACCAAACAATGTGAATCTGATCTCCTTGCTCTACATGTGGCATCTGCGGTTATGACGGTACACTTTCACATTCATATTTAATCACATCATTTTGCTATTCTCGTACCATCATTTTCTTACCGTTTTTTTGTTTAGGTTCGGCCGTCATGCTCATATGAGTACTTGGTTGTTGATAAAAAAGGAAGGTCTTATGTTGTCAATTTCCGTGTGAGGAACTGCACGTGTGGAGAGTTTCAACTAGATCACTTTGTTTGTGTTCACGCAGTTGCCGCAATACGCAATAGGCCAGGCTTATCATGTTATGACTACATATCCCCATTCTACACAAGTGTGGAGTGGAAACTTGCGTATAATGGAGTCATACACCCAGTTCCTACTAGAGACTCATGGATAGTCCCTGATGAAGTCGCCACTATCCCATGTTTTCCGCCTTCATGCACTAAACGTCCACCAAGAAGGCCAAAAAAGAGACGGATTCCATCTAATGGAGAGAGGAGGAGGCAGACTTGTTCACGTTGCACAATGTCCGGACATAACAAAAAAACATGTACTAATCCACTTCCAGTACGTCGTTCGTGAGCAAAATCAATCTTGCACCACAGAGTTTTAGGTTCCTTAACAGAAGAAATGCATTTCACTTTTAAACGGTTTTTAATTAGCTGCTTTTGAACGCCATGTTTAGTGTCATTCTCTATTTTGCTAGACCACAGGAACAAACTTTTATTAGTAGTACTGCCCTCTTCTTAATTTGTTTTATAATAAAACCTCATTACATATTTGGTCCTTTTAATGTTTTCTAGTGCGAATTACTATGTATAGTTTTAAAAATAAATCACTGTTCTAATAGAAGTTTGTAAACAAAAATCAGTACAAATTTTTTAAACCACATATAACACTGTCCCACAACTTTCTCATGTACCACTGCCCACAACTTAATCATATGTTACTGCCCCAGATTATCCGAAATATGTTTTTTGACACTTTGGAAATAATTACCACTGACAATGTATGCAATACACTGCACTGATCTCCTCTGGTCATACAACCCATTTCATAATATACTGACCATTAACAAAACACATAGACCAACCAGCATGGATATAGCGCGTTGTAATGACCATTACAGAACACTATACTGACCACTAAAAAAACATCATTTCACACTACACCGACCCTTAAAAACACCTCATTCCTAGCCAGTGCACAAGTATAAGTCAGCTTGTAATTGTTCCACCATTCTAATATTCACTATGCTTCTTCTAAAATAACCACACTTCTACTAACAAAATGAACATTTGATATCCAAAACTCAACCGGTTAACATTTTCAATACTACCTGAAAAAACTACAAGTATTCCAAATTTAAAAAAAGGACATAGAAAAGAAAAAAAAGATAACATTCTGTTTTTTAGCGGGTATCAAAGATCTAAGTCTCCATGACGGTTGCAACCATGCATTCACTTAAATAACCCTGCTATGCCCAGCATTTAGAGTCCTTGAAAGGAAGCATACATTAATAGGTCCGCAGTAATTTTCTTCTGATATGTATTTATCTGTTCTGGCTCGATTTCAATCACTCCTCTCCCCATCATCAGCAGCTCTGCCATTTTCGTCACAAAAATTCCGGAGCTTGGTCTGTTATAAAAAAAGTAAAATGCACTTATAAATTCATCTATCCTTCAAATAGTTTTTAAGTAAACTTTGCTACTTAACAGACAACAGTAACACCCAAAAAAACAATATCAGGGTATAAAAGTTTTACCCGTCCTTTTTTTGCGGACACTCCAAGATAGGTTGAACTGGAAATGCAGTGTGAGATTCTTCGCTATCCGTACTGTCCTTATATACCGCCAACTTACCCATTAAAACTGGCAGAAAGATCTGCAAAGACAGCAAAAATGGGTGCAATTTCTTCAAGAAACCCCCTCTGTAAACATTCGTGTCGTAAATCCGGATGAGTTTTCCACGTATGTCAACCACAAGCAGTACCCATTCGGATCCTGTGTTCAGTGGCATGTACACAAAATCCGCCTCGGACCACACACGCCCATACTCCATATTATTTCCTTTGATGGTGTTCAATATGTCTGTATTATGTGCTGCATCAGTTAGACATTAGAGAGAAAAGTTTTGTGCGAGTATATTGTGTGTGTTATTGAGTTGTTTACGACCCGAACATCAACGTTTGAAGACGAGGTCTGGTTTTAGCCACCGAAAGAAGGCGTCTTTTATTTTACGGTGTGAGTATACGACGGTAGTCATTTTTCTTAAAATGATGTTTAGTAATTTATGGTATTTGAGTTCCATCCATACAAGGTTAGAGAAAGAAAACATAAGCAAACAAGAACGATAAATCAGTGTTCGAATAGACACATGTACACACCAATTAGTACTCATTATTTAAAACCACAAATAACACTATCCAACAACTTTATCATGTTCACTGCCCACAGATTCTCTGAAACAGGTTTTTAAACACCATGAAAATAATGCACACTGAGAATATAAGTAATTCATCGCACTGTTCTAATCTGGTCATACTAACCATTTCCATACAAGACTGACCATTTTTAAAAATACATTGACCACACATTATGGAGGCAACAATTTCTAGTCCATTAAAAAAACACTATAATCACCCTTAAAAAACACTATAATCACCATTAAAAAAACACGAGGCATTACACCTTATACTGACCATTTAAACCCCCCCCCCCCCCCCCCCCCCCCGTTTCAAACTATATTCACCACTATAAAACAAATTGATAAAGTTTTTCACAGTACAAGCGAACGTTACTTGATTTGACATACCAGGTTTGATAGGCACCCATCAGGGAAATAGAGGTTGTAATACCATGTTTTGCTCAAGGTGTCCTCCTCATCATCAAGCGCCATTATAGCATCTGCACTGAGCTTTTCATCTGTAGCAGTGAATCTCCGTCCAGGGTTCTTTGGCTTTTTCAGCAGACCCTTATGCATGAAGGTGTCAACCCTCTCTAACACCCCTACCTCAGGAAGTTCCATCGGCTCCTTGGTGAAAGGACCGAGGCACAGTTCATCATCACATACTGACTTACTCTCAATAACATCGGCCCTTCTTTTTGCTCGCTTGCGTTGTTCACCAGCTTTTTTCTGAAAAAGTGAACCTCTCAGGAGATTTCAATTTCCGTGTCGATCATATGCATCACCATGCCCTCTGGGGTTGTGTTCCTTCCACAACATTTAAGAAATATGTTATAACACATTACTATCTGATAGGATATTTACAACACATGAAAACATTATTTAAAGCGCATTGCTACTCACAACAACTTGTGTGCAATGGATCGATTCTTCATTCGCTTTTTCTGTCTGACTATCATCGACTACCGTATCGGCTTGCGTGACTTGCTGATCACCCATTGGCCAATCATCAAAATCCACCCCTTCAAATAACTATAACAAGAGTGTGAACTTTTTAGAGGGCAGCATTTAAATTGAATTTAAATTTCACGTCATATTCCTCAAAGCTAATGTCATTTAAAAAATTACCTCACTCAGCTATGTAGGTGTGACTCCATTCCTTCCCACACTCATCCCCACGGCATTACCTTGTAGACTGCCACCATTATCAAGAACCTGAATCTGCCATCAATGAGTAAGAGCATGTCACTTATTCTAATCCACGCACATGAAAAAAGCTTGACCCTCCATCACCACCCACAGTGTTTTAACGGTTTTAACCTATTGTACGCATACAGGCCACGTGTATTAGAGAATTCCTCATTCATATCACACTCCACACCAATGACTCAAAAAAGTAAGTGCGTAAATGCATTTCCTTAAAGAACCGTGTAACATACTTTAATGTTCATAAAATTATATCTGGCTATACTGTCCCCTATCTATTTTACCCAAGGTCACTGCTTAAACCGTAGCCAATTATGTGATTGACTCACTGTCCCTGAAGTTTGGCATACCCACACACTGTCCATAACACATATCCCACACATTGTCCATACCCTTCAGGGGGACTGTCATTAATCTCCAATTCTATATTAATATACACACTGCCCTTCACTCTGCCCATGTATACGCAATGTCCTATGTCCATTAACACACACACACTATCCATATGTTTCATGGGGCCTGTTATTAGTCACAATGGAGGATATTAACACACACATTGCCCACATGTTACATGGGTCTTGTTTACACACTGACCACATGTTATTAAAAACAGATTTATAGGAGCATATTTTCATTATTAGAATACTCAAAGGTATAAGGTAGTTGAGCATATTCTAACCCCCTCCTTTTCAGCTAGGATAGCGATAGGCACATTGGAATCCCCAGATCTCATGTCTTCACTAGCAATCTTCTCCACATGATTCTCCACCTGGATATTTAAAAAATGTGTACAAAAAAATGAATGACATTCTTTTCACATACAAAGATCAACGTTATACATATATTCCCATTCACATAAGTTAATGAAATACATATGATCGAAATCAGTGCTACTTACCCTTACAGTCTCTTCCGCGCTATAATCTCCAACACTCCCCCCATTGTCACGCACAATATTGCGCACCATGACAGCACGACGTTCCAAAAGAATTTCTGTATCAACAGAATTAATCGTGTCATCCATGTCATTAAGTTGGGTAGGGTTTTCTATCTCATAATCAGATGCACCTAAATTTACATTGTCCTCACTACCTTCTTCTTGATCAGCTACTGAATCCTCATTACCTCCATGCTCAATGCCTAGGACAAAGCTAGGACCATCTTCAGCATGTTGTCTACTCTTTTTAATTCCTTTCTTCCTCCTACGTATTAAACCACACTTCTTCAAACATCTCTCCATCAGAACTGCATGCCTCTCATGTGCTCTTTGCATTCCCTTCACTTTCCCACGCAAGCTCACAAGCAATTTACGATCCAACACATTTGCTGCCACTAGACCAGTAACCATCTCCTCCAGTTTTGTGACTTTTTCCAACAACTCTTCATTAACCCCTTTCCTTGCGTTGTCATCACCTTTCTTGCCACATGTCCTCTTTTTCCCTTTTTTGCCTTGACTCGGGTTCCTTACGTTGGGTTTACGCTTCTTACCAACATGCTTAGTACTCCGGGCTTCTCCTCCATTATCACAAGCAACTCCCCAATGAAATGTATTCTTTCCTTCCGCAAGGATCCCCCCCTCTTCTTGTCCACAATGCTCATTACTAGGCGGGCCTTCAAGACTCCTGGCATTGGCCCCTTGAACACACACTTGCAGTACCTTAAGGCTTCCATCTCCTTTAATCATTGGGGTATTTAAAAAGAGACACTTAACATTCTCTTTCCCAATCTCCAAGGCAACTGCCTTCATGCCAATCCATTCAAACTGTAAAAAAAGCTCAAAAAATGATTACTGTCCAAGTACTATTCCAGAATACCTTTAAAACACAAAAAAAGGAGTCAAACAATGAAAAACGAGCACATACCTTATCATTACTGAAGATCACTTCCTCCAACACTATGTGATTTGTCAGTGTTGGTGCTGCCCATCGTAAAGCACGCGGCCATTGGCCTCTCCGACTCTCTATCATCTCGCACACTTCCCTTTTCTCCAGACCTGGGAATGTCTCAAATGCCCAAATCTGCAAAGCCATTAAAAATCCCGGGAATGTGAACCAGTCCTTTTTACTTGTCCTCAAAGTCAATGAACACTTTGCCATGTCCTCAACCAAAAGATCCCAAATCTCATCGCCCTAGGGATACGCGTTCAAACGGGACAAGTCATCTACCAAATGCAAATAAAGTGGTGGCAGTTTCATGGAGGGTTGGTTTCCAACTATGTGACTGCCTAGAAGGTAAAGGACTCCTATCTTCACGCCATCCATCTCTCTTTTTCTCTTGTTGTCCTTTAGACCCTCTAAGACCACCCGCACTTCATCACGTGTCACAACACTTCTACCCCCAAAATATCTGCTACTGATGTCTGAAAATTCCAGTGTACTCCCTCTCTTGTTCAGCTGGACATCCAAATTTGAAACCCGTAATCAGAGCAAAATCAGTTTTCTTAAAACTGACCACCCTATCACGGATGTGGAAAGATATTGCATCGCTATCTGGCTCTATAGGTTCAACGTAGTTCAACGCTAAAAGTATTAGGAGCTGTCCATTAACCCATTTAAGATTGCCAACATCAAGCAAATGACCAAAGGGCGTCTTGCCCAAAGCCTCCAACTCCGATTCTGACAATGTTCGCCGTAGCTTCTCGACCCCACTCAACACATTGCAATAACAATTAGCTTTGACGTTTGTCTTGGAAGCCAAGATGTCTTCTCTGCACATCCTTCGGTATTCCTAAAAAAAATATACATAATCTCCCATGTCACAACACACTTAAAAAACAGACATAATCTTCTACGATTACACAAAACACACTTCACCAAAGTTCATTCCTTTAGAGCAGTTAGCACAGTCTATAATACGTTGCACATTCAATTAACACTGCCTCGCTAATTCCCAAAACACTGCCCTGCTCACAGCATATTTGGAATTAATAAACACTGACAATATATTCAACACACTGCACTGGTTTACTCTGGTCATTAAAACCCAATTCTTATTACAACCAACATGGAGATAGCATTTTACAGTGACATAGAACAAAGACTATACGGAACAGAACAAAAGAAACTCGTTTTCACACTACACTTGCCCTAAGAAACAATACACTTACTTGGTAGTCTATTGGATATTAACCCCTTCAAAACCCCATTATGATCCTTTGCTTTTAATACCATGCACATAAAAACACCACTGCCCTCTAAAACCAAGAACACTGGACTGTTTTTAAACTCTGACTCCAAATTACCCTTAGTCTTCATACTATCCATTACATAATACACTGAACAATAACAAAACACATTGACCAACGGACATGGACATAGCAGAGTCCAGTGACCATTATGGAACACCCTTAAGAAACAGTATACTAACCCTAATGAAACACTACACTTACTTTCTCATGAAATTGATTTTAATTCCCTCAAAAACACTCAATCATGTTTAATCTTTAACAATATGCACATTCAAAGGACAACACCCTCATAATCCCAAAATCCTCTACACTGCCTACTACCTATCATTCAGAAAAAAAACCCAAAACATGCAACACACTACACCACTACAATACATTATTTTCCTTCTTAAACACTAACAAAAACTTCATCTTTATGAATAATGTCCAAAAAAATGTCATACACAGAATAAACTAACCTTCCCAGAAACGCATTTCACAGTAATTTCACTGCCCTCTTCGCCAACAATCTCGGTGTTGTTGTCAATAGCAACTCCAGCAGCCATCGTCGTCTTCCTCGCCGACATCACAATCGGGGACTCACTATCACTTCTCACTGTCTTCGTCGCCGTAACCTCTCCTGCGTTTTTGTCTCTGTTTCTCAATTCTCTTCCTCTTCGTTTACTCAATTTAGGGTTTAAACACGCACTTGACAGCCGCATCCTATTTCCTTCCAAAATTCAAGGTGAATTACCTTCTACAAGAAGAGACCTTCGAAGGAAATGCCGTGATTTTAGGGATCCGAACGTCTTGAATGGAAAGCGGCTGCGCGGTTTTTAGATCTACGAAAAAAAATGAAGGTCATTTTAGTCTTTTCAATACCCCTGCGCCATTAAAACATTTGACTTCCTAACACTAGTGCTATAAAAAGAAAGGGGCATTGTTTTAGTGTTATACAAGTAATTTTCCCTTTATATTTCTCTCTTTTAGGCTAGAGTTTTTTCTTCATCATCATGCTATTTTATTTTGAGGATTTCCAACTTTAGATTTAACTCTTTAATGTTTATTTGGTTTCCTTTTAGAATTAATCCTTATTTCCTTATCTATTTCATGCCTTTTCCTTATTTGCATCTCTCTTATTTATATAGATCACTTTAGTTTAAGCATTCTAGGCTTGATTTTCTAGCCTAGGTTAGGGATGGATTGTTAATTTAATTTGTTCTTTTTGTGGATGGATGGATTAGAGTGAAGCTTGAGACATTATCTTAGGAATGTTTGTGGAGATTGTTCTATTTATTTCTTGGGTGTTGTTGTTGGCCACAATGACATTCTTGTATTCCGAAGTAGATTCTAGATCACCGAGGAATCGAGATTTAGATATATAGTCATGAGTTTCCCTCTCAAGTTCTACCACGGAAGTGGAGGATACTCGAGGAGTTTGTTTGATGTGTTTGGAGTTCTCTTGGTAGGAGCGCCATAGAAGTGGGTCCTTCTCTAGGGGAATCTTTTCCAATTCTCACGGAACTGAAATCAGGGGGATTTGCTCGCTCTCTAGTCGATTTCTATTGCTCTCCTAATCCATTGGCTTTTCAAATTGACATGAAATCCCTAACCTAGGCTTAATTTCATTTGTTTCGTGCATTTCATTTTTAGCTCATTTGCTGCAGTAGTTTAGTTTTCACTTGCATTTCATATCACTCTCTTCTCTTTCTTTCGGCCCAAATTCACATATTACAACTCCATATTAGTGTTTAATTAGTTATACTCTGGACTCGATTCCTAACCAATCACGCTATCCTCTTGGACTTGACATCCCTTACTTCCACCACTAGACTCATTCCATTTACATTTCCCACATTTCCATTTCATTTCCACCTCATCTCTTTTTGATCAAGAGTTGTCATATCAAACGATGTATCAAAAACTCTTCGCATCAAAACTGGTGTCGTTGCCGTGGATAGCAACGGTTTTTAGTGCTTTGTGTAGTTGCCACTTGCCAGAGGAGTAATGTGGTAAATATTTTGACAACTTTTTATACTAGTAGTTTGAAACCTTAAAGCACAAGACAAGAAAACAATTGTATGATGCAAAAAGAAGACAATAGTCTGCGTCAAAGTCAGACAACTAAGGCTACGTAGTCGTCTATAACTCCCACAAACAGAAGCCTTACACGTGCAAGGACAGAAATTAGTAATCTGAAGCACCATTAAACAGTCGTATGTTTCTGTTTCACACTACGATTCTTGGGAAGAAGTCAGTGTGTAGAGGTTCGTAAACTATGATAAAAGAGAAGACAACTCTCCCTGTGGAAAAGAACCTTCTTACAATTATAGTACTACACTTTCAATTAAGTGTAGTATCAGCTCGCCAGGATTTAAGTATCAAACTTGTGAGTTGTGACCAGCTTACAATTGGCAAATAGTCGTGCCATTGTATTATAGAGTTTCTATGATAGTATATACAAGAGTTTTGTTGTGTGAATAGGAGAAAAGAGATTGAGGTACATACACATTCCTCATTAATTTTGAGACAAAAGTAAGTTGATTTAAATGATTAAAATGTAGAAGTTTAAATGTAGGGAGTATATTAAACCTTTAGGTTCAATTCCTCCATTACGGCGTTCACTAAAACAACAACACACATAGAGCTCTGCCATTACAGAATTATAATGTAATATTGTAATGGATAAATGAATGAAAGGGAAGTGTGATTACTCCAATATATCGGGCAGTGGTATTGATGTAGTAATTAAGCAGTACACATCGAACGAAGCATATAAATAAAGTACGTTGGTAGTATGTTTGGTGTTTGGATGCACGAAAGGGAACGATAAGTCGATCCTCTGTGACGCACACGAGAAGACACAGATACAGTTTTAGCTACACATAGTGTGTCATGCCCATGGATCAAAATGATGTATGTAAAGGTAGAGAAATTAAAGAAAAGCAGAAACATACGTAGTTGTGGTAGCTAGCTAGCTAGATTATACTCCGATCCGTAGTATGTTGTGGATAGGAGTAATAAATACGGATCGGAGTAATTAAGATATATGGATCGACAGGATCGTAATATATCATTATCATCGGGGTTGATTTGAAAAGTAAGCGAGAAGGCCAACTAAAGGAGCATTGATGTAGGTTGCGGGCTCGGACTGGGCAACGTTGTTCCGGTCATTTGCAAAATTGTCACCTTCATCAGGACCACCAACAACAGCTCCGACAAGGAGGTTAGGGTTGGGATTTGGGGAGTTTAAGGCGTCGAAATCAGAACCGATGAAGGCGGGGTGATCCTTCACTGAGGGGAGTGATGAGCCCCTGTGGTGCACGTGCTTCGGATAGTTAACCCCGTACCCAACCATGTACGACATTCTAGCCGGGTTTTCCCCGAGGATGTAGTCCACCTGTTTCCTGGCATACTCTATGAGTTGATCAGCGGTGAGTACACCAGCCGTGCCGCAAGACGCAGTTTGGCCCCCCCTTTTCAGGTACTTTGCATAGTTTAGTAGGAGGAATGTTGATGTCGTAACATATTGGAGGTTGCTTGAGCCTTGTTCGTAATAAAGTCCCCCTGGAGATCAATGAATAATTAATTACTGTAATTAAATCATCAGTTGTGTACTGTGTTCATCCAGGCATATACTCCCTCCCCTCCTAAAAAGCTTTTCTCATTTTAACTTTCAATAAATGTTATTAATGATAAATATTTTTGTGTTTACTTTTCAAAAATACATGCATGCATTTGATGTAATGATTAGATTATTAATGAACAGTTTTGATGTGACACGTAAGTTAAGAATGCGTAGAGGTAAAATGAGTTTTTAATAAAAAGTCAAATGAATTTTCAGGACGGATAAAAGAGAAAGAAGAAATCATTTAAGAGACGTAGGGGTATTACTTATTTTTATTCTTTTAGAAATTAGATCATATCAAATGATTGAAAATTAAAACAAACTCTAGATCAATGGTGTATCGAAACATATATATATATATATATATATATATATATATATATATATATATATATATATATATATATATATATATATATATATATCATGTTAATAATTTATTTAGATACTGCCTCCGTTCATTAAAACTCTTCTTCTTTCATTTTTTTGCTTTTACCAAAACGCTTCGTTTTTTTGTTAAAGTAACTAATACTCTCTTCGTTCCATATAACCCTTCCCCTTTCGTTTTTTTCCAATTCCCTAAAATACTTCCACTTTCTATTAAAAACCACTTTTACCCCTACTTTTTCATACTCTATCTATCACATTATACTTTTTTCACTAATGACCAAACTATCACATCTTACTTTTACCCATCACATCAAAGACAAAATAGAAAAGTCAACCAAAATTACACTTTCCTTATTTTGGCTCAAAGTCAAAATGCATGGGAAGGGTTTAAAGAAACGGAGGGAAATATATCTAAATAAAGTCTCCAATATAATATACTTCATCCATTTTGCATTGATATAATAAGTTATTAAAATGATTTGTCTCTCTTTTCTTTTCGATGCTAATAATTTAAATTACATAAATAAATTCAGCAAAACTCAAAGCATGAACTGTTTTGGTAAATGAAGGCTACTTAAGCTACCTGCTGTGTGCCTGCCATGATATATAGCGCAAACATAGTTGTCTCCGTGTATTTTGAATGGCTCAAAATCTTGTTCTCCGGCCGTCAGGAAGACCTGTGAATACAATTAGACACAGGGGGAGTGATCGATACAATTGATGAAATTAGTTAATTAACTTATGCAAAACAGTACTGTACGGAGTAACTGCTAGTTAATTACTCTGGACAAGAGAATTCTGGTTCCTGGTTTCTTGTCATCCCAGCTGAAGGAATTTTCTCCACCGCAATCACCCAATGACGTTGGAGTATTTGATTGAATATAATTCGAATACAAGTTTTGTTTAGAAGCTAAATATAGCCATGATGCTGCCCACAAAAGTTCATCCTGCAGGATTATTTAATATTTGTGAAAAATACTTTACGTCTTTTTTCTTTTTCTTTAATATTTAATATCTGCCCACAAAAGTTCAATTCCTTCCATTTTTCTTTTTCTTTTTTTCTCTAACCAAACAAGAAAAATGTTTTCCTTCTTAATTATTATATTATTCTTTCCGTCTCCAATTTCTTGAAGCAAATATAGTGCTAGTTTTCCGAGGGAGGAAAGAATTAAGAAGACTGAGATCTAAACAATAAGTGTTGATCGCTAGAATGAATGCATGGCTAGGCAGTCTTACGTACCCCGAATCCTGAGAAAGATGTGTAAAACTCGCAGACCACTGAGCAAATATGGTTGTCGTTATAAGAACCCCGATTTGTGTCAGCAAAACCGAATACCTGAAAGCATATTTGATTGCCGCCATTAATTAATTAGCTTGTGATCGATATATCATTTATGTGACTCCTCCTCATTTTACTAGCTTCTGATTACACGTGTTTCTTTCGTTCTAAAATAAATTTTACATTCAAAAGACAACCAAATTATAGCCTTTATCATTCAAATAGCTAGGAGAAAAAAAGGATGCAATTTGTTTTGGAGAATAGTATATAGAAATATATGGGAGGAATTTACGTAAATGGTACTAAAACATAATGACTTACCCTAAATAACATCACATGTGTTTTTTCCCAATGTAGCATTTTTAGTCATTGTCCATTAGTCATTATTCAAGTAAATGTTCGCCATCACCAGACATTATGGACATTATTAAGTGCTATTTAAGGAATAAAACAGTTTAAATGTTATTTAGGCAAATGACTTAAGTTTAGTGCTATTTAGTGCAAATATTTCATATATATGGAGGATTTGAATGAGAGGGAGGGAATTTGTATGGTACGTACTTTCTTTGCCGTGATAAGTAATTCAGTGGAATAGGAAAGATTAGATTTACGGAACACAATGGAAGCAGCCGCCAGTGCTGCGGCTGTCTCCGCTGCAACTTCGGATCCTCGTTCCTGAGCCGTAACCTTGTACACCGGTCGGTTTAAGCTGTCCATGTCCTCTGGCCTCTCCCAAAGTTGGTGCTCTTCGTGAGGGTTACCTACCTGCATCCATTTCAACATTTCCATATAATCTACTCCTTCGGTTCTAAAATTATGTTCTTGTTCACCATTTATATGAGCAAATTTTATTTACTTTGTTGACATATTTTTGTTGCACACTTGATGAAATATTATAGTCATGTATTTCGTGTTTAGTTTTCAAATATACTCCCTCTGTTTGGAAAAATCCTTCCCATTTGATTTGGGGGCAAAAATAAGGAAGTGTTAAATTATACTCCCTCCGTTCTCAAAAACACTTCCTCTTTCATTTTTTCCACTTCCAACAAAACACTTCCACTTTCTATTAAAAACCCACTTTTACCCTTACTTTTTCATACCCTACCTATCACATCATACTTTTTCTCTAATAATCTATCCATCACATCTTACTTTTATCTATCACATCAGGGGCAAAATTGGAAATCAACTATAATTTAACACTTCTTTATTTTTGCCCCCAAATCAAATGGGAAGGGTTTTTCCAAACGGAGGGAGTAGTTGATTTCCAATTTTGCCCCCGATTGTGATGGGTAAAAGTAAGATGTGATGGATAGATGGATAAAAGTGGTTTTTTAATAGAAAGGGGAAGTATTTTGTTGGAAGTGAAAAAAATGAAAGAGGAAGTGTTTTTGAGAATGGAGGGAGTATAAATTTTATTTTCAAATTTTAAATTTATAAGAAAACAAATTGAATCGAAAATAAAATTGGTTATGAATGTGGCAACTTTACTACTCCGTGTGTCATGTCGAAAAGATTTTGTTTTAATTTCTTTTATGAATGTATCGTAGTGGCGGGCTTACTTGGACATAGAGAATTTGGTTGTCTATGTGTGCCGCTGCTTTCAACAGATAATCGGTGCCCCAACGGATAGCTTGTTCCGCATACTGGCGTTGATCTCCCATTGAATTCCGATACTCGAGAACACTCCATGATAAGAGTGTGATCGTAAAGGCCATTGGCAGGCCAAACTTTATGTTGTCACCAGCATCATAGTACCCTCCCACCAGGTCCACCTTAATTATTAACAATTAAACAAAACACACGGTTATTTTTTTTTTTAATTAATCAGCACGGATTATCATCGGAGTATAATATAACTTGCTAGCTAATTATATTCAACACTCTTTTTTTCACTAGGCAGCTTCAAATTAAACATTACCCCATCACTCGAGCCATCTTTCGTCCCCGAATTCCCCCTCCAGTCGAGGCGTTGGTTGGGTGGCAAAAGCCCCGATCTCTGGCCCTCAAAGAACAAGATTGCTTTTTCTAAAGCGTCGTGGTAATCATAATTGGCTGAGGCAGAAAGTATGAATAAGAAGAAGAAGAATAAGAATAAGGTTTTGTTTAAAATTTGCATGTTTGAAGCAAGATTGCACTTAAAAAGACTATTGAGATGTTTTTTTTTATGGAATGAAGTAATTAAAGATTTGATTATGGCTTCATGACTTTATATTGATGGCTTGCGGTGGACAAGTTCGTTGGCATGCAGTTTTTCTCAGCTACGACTGGGAGGATTGGTTCATACTACTGTACGTGGGACCCCTCCCCCCAATAAAGAATCTTTACTCCCTCCGTCCCTGAAAACATTTCTTTTTTTTTCCATCCGTTCCAAAAAACACGTCTCATTTCTATTAAAAAATCACTTTTACCCCTTACTTTTTCATACCCTACCTATCACATCATACTTTTTTACTAATAATCTATCCATCAAATCATGCTTTTACCCATCACATCAAAGGACATTTTTGGAAATTCAATATCATAATACACTCTCCTTAAATCTCTCTTCAAAATCAAAACTCCCATGTTTTCCGGGACGGATGGAGTATATTTATAAGAAAACCCCCTAAACAGGAGTAAAACATATGTTATATTCTCAAAGTAGGAGTTCAAACTTAAACTCCTCTAAGTAAGAGTAATTAACTAATTTAAGTTTTGGCCAAAATTTTCTCTCTCTAAAACTAAAAGAGGGGTTGTGTTCTTCGAAGTTCTGGCCGACTCCCTAGATTGTCATTACCCTTGAATTTCAAATTATTTCAAATTTACTCCATGTAATGTAGCGAGTGCATAGAGATAAGCTCTGGATACCTTTTGCAGTGTTTTTACTAAACTAAACTCAACGATGCAGTTTCATTTAGTTATATATGTCTGGACAAGCTAAGTATAAAACTTTTACTCTTTTTTTTTAATGTGGGCACCTGGTGTTATGCTTTTAGAAATGGGGTGTTCAGTGGCAGATTATAGAGTTTCTTGACATTTGACTTTTTTGGAAATTATATATTTCTCCGTCCCGGAAAAATTTTCTCCTTTCTTTTTTCATCCGTCCCAATAAAAACACTTCTCATTTCTATTAAAAAGTCACTTTTACCCCTTACTTTTTCATACCTTACCTATCACATCATACCTTTTTACTAATAATCTATCCATTAAATCATACTTTTACCCATCACATCAAAGGACATTTTTAGAAATTCAATACCAAAATACACACCCCTTAAATCCCTCTTTAAAATCAAAACTCCCATATTTTCCGGGACGGAGGGAGTATGCATTAACATGTGTGATATGTAACATTATACATGGACATATATGTCATTATACATTGCCTTGTGTGGCATTGTACATTATCATGTTTGGCATTATCTAGATGAGCCGACTATGAATAGTAAAGTCTCCCTAGATGAGGCGGTGCACAATCAGCTATGAGTGATACAATGACATATTTGTTCTTAATAAGTGCTATATATACTTGGCATTTTGCTTCTCTGACATTATATAGTGGCATATTTGTACTTATTAATGGCTATGTTTGGCATTATAGATTGTAATATTTGATATTGTGGTATTGTTGCATTGTATTAAGAGTATTTTTTTTCTTGACAGTCATGATAAGACCATATTACTGCATACAACGACAATGGCTAATCCCGGTGGTGTTGGCAGCGAAGGAGGCGAGCTTGGTGATGTAGGAAATCATCGGCAACACTCGATTGCACGGTGCGGGGCGCAGCGGTAGGCCGTGGGTAAATGCCAGTGGTGTTGGCGGCGACGGTGGCAGATTTGGTGATGTGAGAAATCACTAACAATAGTGACCGTACAAGAATATTGCTAAAAACTGAGTAAGAGATTAGCATGAAGGGAGTACGTGAGAAGATTAATTAGATTCTTTTAATTTATTAAGTTTATTTCAATTCATTGGTGGGGATTACTATTTACTGCATGTAGCATGAACGTTTGAAAGATGGACTTGCTCTAACAAATTAAATTTATTAAGTGTGTGTGTGTATGTATATGTATGAGTGTGTGTGTATATATATATATATGTATATGTATATATGTGTGTGTGTACAAATATATTTATAACTAAAAATATTTCAAAAAAATAGAAGAAGAAAGTGTATACACTATTGTTATGTCTAGGAAAAGTTACAAAATCTAAAAATATTATGGAAGTGTTGTTTACAGTTTTGGCTTCATTCAACAAAACATTAACAACCTTCTCCGCTGATATTTCTTCCTACTTTGTGTTTCTTTCTTTTAAGTATTGGACAAGTTGATTAATTAAGTACTCTTATTTAGGGGAGTTTAAATTTTAACTCTTATTTTGGGGATATGATATATGTTTTACTCCTAATTTGGTCCTTTTCCTTATATTTATATGTTCTTGTATCAACAAAATTCAAGACTTTCACATTTATCCCGGAATCACCTGCGTTAAAATGGGATATCTTTTTATACTTTTACTGCTGATCAAGACGACTTGGGTTTCATAAAATTAAATTAGGCGACTAAAGGAGTAAAAGAATACCGAAAGAATAAAGACAAATGCTTTTTTATCCAGATGGTATACTACACATTTTAGTTCATTACGGAGTTGAATTCTTTATTTCCAATCTCCAAAGAAAAAATTGAATATGATCAGTACTATTTTTAAAAGGCATTTTGCTGGTGCAGGTAAGACCGCATATACCTTGGACGTCAGATCTATACGGAGTATAACAATGGGTACATTTTTCACATAAACAATTTAATAGAGTACAAAAAATAGAAGAAATGTCATTATAACATTATAAATATGTTTAGAAAAATTTGCTCAATATAAGACTAAAATGTAGAACGTTTCCCTGAATAAGATCAAATATGTTTTATTTTCTTTATGATACATATTTTCATAGGATCTGCCATATATGCTTCCATTAACAAATAACAACAACTGGTGGGTAGTGGCGGACTTTACGAATTACTTTATGAATCTAGTCATTAGTAACAAGTGTTGAATAGAGATTAATTATTACAATAATTATTCAAATTGTTTTTTAACAATATCTTATTCTACTTTAATTATGTATGTAATAACTTATTCACAGAGGACATTATTAATATCCATTGTAGTCATTATGGATGCTTGTCATTTTTCTTGTTATTAATGAAGCACTCACATTTTCAGAGGGAGTGCATTTCAAAATTTTAATTACCAAACCTTAGAGTAAATAGGACCGATCCTACTTGAAGAAAAATGATATGATTAGGTTTCATTTACGTAATTTAATCATATGTTTATGCATGTTACCAGTAATAATCTTGTACTTCCTCCGTCTCTACAAAATATTTTAGTTTTCTCTTTTACTTTTTTTCCATTACAAAAAGTCTTTCTACTTTCTATTATAAAATTACTTTTACCTTACTAATTATATTTATTCACTTAAATAACATAATTTAGAAAACTAAAAACAAAAGTATTCCTTCCTTAAATTTCTTAATAGTAAAAACAAAAATTGTTTAATCGAATGAGGGATCACACTAGAATTTACTCCCTCCGTTCTCAAAAACACTTCCTCTTTCATTTTTTCCACTTCCAACAAAACACTTCCATTTTCTATTAAAAAACCACTTTTATCCTTATTTTTTCATACCCTACCTATCACATCATACTTTTTCTCAAATAATTTATCCATCACATCTTACTTTTATCCATCACATCAGGGGCAAAATTGGAAATCAACTATAATTTAACAATTTCTTATTTTTGCCCCAAATCAAAATGGGAAGTCTTTTTGCAAACGGAGAGAGAGTATAAAACACCAAGCTGGTTTCGCATATACACAAGTACATGTCTCCTACATACATCATAATGTGGTCAACTAAATAATCAATGATTATATCAAGCCTAGATGTACTCCGGGTAATTCTTAATGTAATTAGTCTAATACTCCCTCCGTCCCGAGTATTCGTTCAGTTTTGACTTTTGAAACTGTTCATCTAAGCACTTTGACTCATCAAATTCTCTCAATGTGTAAGCCTAAATATAGTCATGTGTGATCTTATTTGATTTGTCTTAACATATAGATTATTAATATATAATTTCTATAATTTTTTAATATACAAATTACAAGATAAAATTGATTAAAAAAGTGTATTGGATGGTGTGTAAAAATGAAAGTGGACAAATATTCTGGGACGGAGATAGTATGTTATTTACTCCCTCCGTCCCTGAGTATTTGTCTACTCTCATTTTTACACACCATCCAATGCACTTCTTTAATCCATTTTATCTTGTAATTTGTATATTAAAATAGAAATTATATATTAATAATCTATATATTAAGACAAATCAAACAAGATCACACATGACTATATTTAGGCTTACACATTGAGAGAATTTGATGAGTCAAAGTGCTTAGATGAACAGTTCCAAAAGTCAAAAGTGGATAAAAACTGAGGGACAGAGGTAACCCAAGAGCTAGTCGGTGGGTCAGTCCCCCTAGTGTGTGAGGAATATCCAATGGGCTAGGGCCATGTATAGCTAGGATTAATTATATTATGTGGAGAAATGTTTATCTAGTTTTGTAAGTAGATATCTGGTAGGATTAGGAAGTTTAAAAGGCTATAAATACCCGGCCCTCTAAGGGATTCGAATACAGGTCTTTGATACTATTCTTGACTTCAATATGCTTCTCTTTTATTATGTAATTCTTGAGAGATATTGTGAGATATATATATTTGGTGGAATTAAAATTCTATCATTGATTTTTTCATTGAGAGAAGCGTTTCGTGAGCATGGAAGGATCAAGGACAAGGAACAGCAATCGGGTTCCGGCAACGATTGCATTGTCGTCCACTGTTGCACCACGCCCCTCTGCGAAGGGGGGAGATTTGGAACTCCAGCTTACCACGATGGAAATATTGTAACGCCCTACAAATCGGCCAAATAGTTTGCCAATATTTTAAATAAATAAATATTATTTATTTATTAAGACTCATTATTTAAAAATAAAAAATATTGAGATCTTGATATCTTTAAATGGACTTCAGAAGATAATGTATTTTAGTTATAGAAAGATATTTTTAATAACGGGTCTCAACACATTAATTAAGTAAACAAATTTATTAATGATTGGGGTGGACCTGGAAGTTTGAAAATAAAGTTTAGAGAAAAATATTTTGAGGATATCATAAATTTAGTTTTGACTGTTTATTTACAAAAACGCAAATGGTTTTCAATTCGGAGCAGTTTGGGGGAAAAACGTGTACCTTTCAAATAAGAAATTATTTACGTAGCAACCTTAGAAACTCCACCCCACCTTATTCCTCTATGTACACAGTCCACCCCCCTCATTGCCTTGAAGTTATCATCATCATTCATCTTTAAAATGATGCCTCACCCCTTCCCATTTTCCATCCATTGTTATCATCACCAAGGAACATCACCATCACCCATCCATCTTCCTCTCGTCACCCTCTCTATCTCGCTGGAAACACAGTAGCAACACCGAGGAGGAAGGCCGGCGAAGGAGAAGAAGAGGAAGAAGAGGAAGGAGGTGCTGATTTTATAAGCAAAATCCCGTCAGACCACTTTGGGCAATATTTAATTCCGACCAACATAAACTCACTGTTTGGTCACGGTTTCTTGACCAAAGTTATAGCCATGCGAGTCAATGAACCATAGCCGCAAACGGTTCGTCAATCGAACGAGTAACGAAAGCAATATGGCTATTCTACCAAAACTGGTCCAGTAGTGGCAACGGAAAACGCGAGGTTTGCAACTTCCGTCTTCATTCTCGTTCCGTCTCATCCAATCCGCTATTTGTTGGGTGCATGCCAACAAACCACAGCCCCTGTAGCATATCTGCGAGAAGAAACCGAAACTCAAGAAGCCGTTTGGAAGTCGGAAGATCAATAGTTTGACGACTGTTCGTTGACGTTGTTGATTCATTCGGTTCCTTCTAACATTGTGTCGTATAGTATTCGAGGTATGTACACATTAGATATAACAGAGGAATCTTTAATATATTTATATGCGAATACGTTGGTTGTTTATATGGTTAATTATTTGTATATAGATTCATACCATGTTATAAGTTCCGTAGAGAACAACGAGGATTAGAAGACGTTATGAAATTGAGCGATTACACCAAGGCTAAATGAATGTTTGACTCAATCGTAAACAATATGAATTTTGAAATAAAAGTAGTAGAACGGTTAGGCTATGAAGAATATGGTTAAACTTGTGGAAATACCATTGGATATCTTAATAGCATCACTTGATATGTACAGGTATATAAATTTGACATGTGAATAAACAAGTTGAGAAACACCTAGACTACATTTAGACGATTACATGAACACGTAAAGCTATGCCCAAATATATGTGTTTTACATGTACGAACGTTTGTGTATTTGTTGTTTAATATGCTCAACTACTTGGCATAACCTACGTTGAATCCGTTTTGATTGTAGTTTTCTCGTTATAAAGATATATGGTATGAAACTCGTTGAAAAAGAAATCACCTATCAATACGTTGGAATGAATAGGTAGTACATATATAGATATATTGTAATCTTGAATGTTTATTATAATTTTCAAAAGGTTGAACGCAACTAGATAGACCCAAATAGAACCCGCGTACACCGCGTACCGTGATAATCAATTATCAAGTTCTGATAATCTACTATCAAGTGGTGCTGAACTTTGATAATTGATTATCACCGGTTATCTACTACCACGTGCCGTTGAACTTTGATAATCGATTATCACCAAATTAAATGATCGACTATCAAGTGCTGCTGAAAAACTATTTTTGAAAAAAAAATAATTATAATACGGAGTATAAAGTTAGCATAAATATAAAAATATTAAATTTTAAAAAGTTTTTGTGGTAACATTGCACCTCAATTTGTTTATGCATATTTATTATAAATAATATATTTGTAATTATACTTTATATATTACAAGATTTTGTTTTAAATATCAGACATGTCACATAATGTAATCAAACCTATTTTTTTCTTTAATGATTGATATTTTATTTTCATTGAAGTCCTATTTTTGGAATAAAGACATAGAACTTTTTTTTACATTTTTTATGTTTTACTCCAAGTTTAGTCTTTTTCTCTAAACTATTTTGACTTAATTTTTTTAATATAGTTTAACATATTGATGATTTTTTGTTTTACCATGTAGATTAATATACAAAAAACTGTCTTATTCATATTAAAAAGTTGAAGAAAAAAAAGAGTGTGAATCATAAAATTAGTGAGATGAAAAAAATAATTTATAAACTACATTGTTGTTAGAGTAATTAGTTGGGGAGTAGAGAAAGTTTGAAGAAAATGAGAATAGTTGGAAAAACTGGAAGGAACTGGAAGAAACTGGAAAGAATTGGAAGAAACGGAAAGAAACTGAAAATTAAGAGTTCAAGACTTAAAGAACAGACTCTAAGTAGTGATTCTCTATTCTTATAAGCTTATTAAAATTGTTTATAACTAATTTTTAACTTATAAGTCAACTGATAACATATTTCTTCATTCTTATATACTAGCTTATAAGTTACTTATAAGTCAGAAAATTAAGTGAGTCATACCTACTTATGTTTAAATCAATTTTTTTCCTTTCTACGTTTTGACCGAATTATTTACAAACTATTCATCACCATTTATGAGTATTTCAAAATGACTTTTCTGTCATTAAAGTCATTTTACTTTAATGAAAGAATAGTTGACCAATAAGCAACTTATAAGTAAAAAAAATTATTTATCAATAATAAGTTAATAAGCACCACTGTAGATAAACATCTCTATAGGGGATTTTCTCTGGTTAATTTCTCCCCATTCTGTTGTTGCTCATTGTGAATCCAATGTTTACAATTCATCTTCCCTCTAGCACATAGGGTGGAGCTCTTAGGAAAAGGATTAGTTCTACAAAAAGGGAAAATCTGGTGTATAAGACATGAGAGTAGGTAAGACATAAGAGTAGAAGAGACATGAGAGTAGAAGAAGTAGAGAGCCTGAAGTGCATTGATAATCACAGATTCACAGACAACTAATATCCAAAATCCCCAAAATACTTCCAAAAGGTAGCTGAATTCATTAACAAACCCAGATTAAAACTTCAAGAACTACAATTCCATCAACCAAAACAAAAAAATACAGCATGAAGCTTTAGCAAGTTTCCATGTACAATCTAGTTCGCAGATTCCGCCTGTTTGGTTGCCTCCACTGCTTTCATTTTTTCCAATGCCGAAACACGCCCATTTAGCGACTGATAGACGGCATTCATCTGTGAGTCCATGAAAAGAAATAATCATGTGGGAAACTTGTGATGAAGCATATCTTGAATCATAATACTATGGATCTGTTTTTGTTTTTCGAATATATTGATAGAGTTAAGGTTTAAAAAAGACATTGAGAGAGTGAACAAGTGAGAATCCTACAAAGTACAAACCGTCAATTACTGTTAGTTCATTGAGTTTAGTTGCGTACTTTACGGACAATAAGCTAACCCACATCTTCCTAACAAACTTTCTTAACTAGGAGAATCCCTTAGAGTTAGACAGGTAATCTTTGAAAACTAGGCTACAGTGACGGGCTTATATTCATGAACCATGAGTGAGAGGATTATAAAAGACGCTGCTGGTTCACTTTGATACATTGTTGTTGGAGCCCCCGCATTGGATGGTGGAGTAAAGAGAGGATTAGTCTCACTTCTCTCCTCCACATCAAATTTTGTGGACCCAATACACATCTTCTCCATTTACTCCACCTCATCTCTTACACCAAAAGGACTACTAAAATATTATGCATTATGTGACTTAAATGATATTTTTATTATTAAATATTTATACATTATATAATTATTTTTATTTACAAATTAATGAAAAATAAAATTGTACTTCAGTTTTTATGGCTTCGACAACAAAATTGTACTTTTTTAAATAATATAGAAAAAAATAATTAAATTTATTTTAATAAATTAATTTCAATCAAAATTATTTAATTATGGTAAAGAAAAATTCTGAAGAAGAAGAATAAATGAAGTAAATTTTGGTATGCACATAAAAAATGAGTGTTGGGTGCGGCGCCACATGGCAAAAAAAAAACAAAAAAGGAGCTGCAGCGCCACATGTCGTGAAACCATTAGTCTTTCCCATTTGTTATTTCTTCTCCTCTGCAGAGAAGAGCTACTCCTTCTCCCTCTTGAAAACTGCCCAGGAGAACTTCTCCTTCTCCACCTCATGCGACTTCTACTCTTGGACTTCTCCTTCTCCTCCTTCTACCTATCCGCCTGATGCGGGAGCTCTTAAGGCTGCATTCCGCTCAACTTATTTTTTCTACTTATTACTTATTCTTATTATAACCACATCACACCAGACCAAATCGGACCAAAAACAGCTTTAATTGTAAGTGCAATTAGATCATACTAGATCAGATCTTCAAAAAATCAGATCATATCAGGCAAACGGAATGCAGCCTAAGTCGACAAGTCGAGTCGAGTCGGTGAAGGAAAAACAAGTGGACTAGTCGGCCTACTAGTCATAGACTAGTCGACAAATCACAATGAGTATTGAAAATTTTTACATTATATATATCTTCATTCATATAATGTGAAAAATTTCAATACCCCTATGTTTATATATATCTTCATTCAATTTCCATTCCCCTATGCCAAGATTCACTATTTTTTTGGCTTTGGGGTATGATGGAATAAAGCAAATTAGCACTTTAAACTGTCTACGCTTCTTGCAATTGTGAAGTAACAGTTAGTCAATGCAACTTTCGACGCTCATCATGGGTCATCTGGAAACAGACGCTCTATGTTTTAAACATAGGGGTCAGACTGCGTACATCCGACCCTCCTTTACCCCGCAATGGGTGGGAGTCATTGAGGCACTGGGGTAATGTTGTTGTTGTGGTTTATATATATCTTCATTCACCCAAGATAACTATATATATTTATATGAAAAAACATCATTACCAAAGAAAAATTATGTTTTAATGTAGCACATAAAGACACATAATGAAGGGTACATAAGAAACAAATATCCTTCAATCTTTAAAAATAACACACCAACAAAGACAATAAGCACAAATAGAAGTCAAAGAACATATTAAAAAGAAAGTGTTAACTGAAATCAGCAAAAAAAATTAAAAAATTAAAAAAAATGAAGAAAAATAAAAAAAAAGAGTAAAATATACTTTTATTACTTTAATAGTTTAATGAACCAAATTACAGAAAATTAAACTAAATTAAGAGACTAAGTGATAAACAACAACAACAACAACCCAGTTGAATCCCACAACAGTAGAGTCTGGGGAGGGTGTGTGTACGCAGACCTTGCCCCTACTCGGAAGTAGGGAGGCTGTTTCCAAGAGACCCCCGGCTCCACCTGCACAAAAATATGGAAGAGAACACAGTATAGCACAGATAAGGCACCAAGTACAAGCAACAAGTACAAACAATAGCAAAAGATTCCCAACAAATACAACACACTACAAAACAACCTCTACAACACCGAGCTCCTATCCAGCTACTCTAATCCTAGTTCTCCAAAGGTTCCTATCTAGGGCCATATCCTCAGTCAGGTCGAGAAGTCCTAAATCCTGTCTTATCACCTCCTCCCAATTCTTCTTAGGTCTACCCCTTCCCCTACTTCCCCCGATAACTGTAATCCTCTCGCATCTCCGTACAGGGGCATCAGCATCCCGCCGTCTCACATGGCCAAGCCACCTCAACCTCGCTTCCCGCAACTTGTCTTCCACCGGTGCCATACCTACTTGACGTCGGATAACCTCATTCGAAATCCTATCCAACCTTGTCTTCCCGCACATCCATCGTAACATCCGCATCTCCACCGCATGCAGACAACGCACATGAGTCTTCTTAACCGCCCAACACTCTGCCCCATATAACATAGCAGGTCTGACTACGGATCGATAGAACTTACCTTTCATTCTAGGCGAAATCTTCGGATCACACAACACCCCTGAAGCTAACCGCCATTTGGCCCAAGCCACTCCAACCCGATGTCCAA